CATGTCTGACTCTTTGCGACCCCATGGACTTCTCCAGGCCCTTCTCTAGGCCCGAATACTAGAGTAGGTAGCCTTTCCCTTCTCCAGGGAATCTTCCCAACTCAGGGATTGAACCCAGGTCTCCCACACTGCAGGCGGATTCTTTACCAGCTGAGCCACCAGGAAGCCCAAGAATACTGGGATGGGTAGCCTACCCCTTCTCCAGCAGATCTTCCTGACCCAGGAATTGGACCAGGGTCACCTGCATTACAGGTGGATTCTTTACCAACAGCTATCAGGGAAGCTACATCAATATATGTAACAGGAAAGACTAACTTTCAGAATCTGCCACCCTTCATGGGAGCTGCTAGAAGGTTTAAGTTTCAATCATTACTTAATAAAACAGAAAGTCCATTCTACAATGAAACCATCCAAATGTGGCCCACTGTGAATATAAAATCTATAGCCAGTTAAAACTGGTGGTTTCTACTAAAATTAAATATGTGCCAGCTCTAAGACCCAGAAAGACCACTCCCTGGAATTAAGGGTAATGCCCACCATTACCATTGAGGGTGATGTTCAAGAATCTTCAAGCCAGTGTTACACATAATAGGCCAAAACTGAAATGAACTATCAAAAGGATAATAGATATAAACTGCCAACAAGTCACATGATAAAATGCTCCACAGCAGGGGCTAGCAAACTGTGCACCACATTTGGCCTGCCACCTCCTTTTATAAGCCCTGGGAACTAAGAATAGCTTTTCTTTTTCATGGTTGAAAAAAAAAAGAAATCAAAATAAGAATGGCATTTCATGACACTTGGAAATTATTGAAATTAAATTTTCAGGGGCCATAAATAAGGTTTCAGTGGAGCCCGGCCGTGCTTATTCATGCCTGCACTGTCTATGACTGCTTTCACAGCAGCAGGAGAATTAAATAGTTACAACAGGGATCATGTGGCCTGCAAAACCAAAAAGATTTACTATCTGATCTTGGGCAGAAAAGTGTGCCAGCTACTGCTATACAACACAAAAGGAAAGAACTACAATTATATAGAACCATATGTAGAGTGAAGGAAGCAGATACAAAAGAGTACACATGGATCCCTATTTATCAAGTCCAGAACAGACAGAACTAGTCTATGATTAAATAAGTCAGAATGCTCCCTTCATGTGACTGTCAATGGCCAGGAAGGTGAACACGGAAGACTTTTGGGCCAGTGGGCATGATTTGAATCTGGGGGTGGATACTTAGTATAGAAATATGTAAAAAATTACTAGGCTTCACCTGTATAATATGAGTCCTTGTTACTATAATATGCATCTTACAATTAAAATTTTTAAAGTGGAGGGGAGGGAAGTGAGAGGGGAAGAAAAGTGTCCATCTCCAAAGGTTTATAAAGAACTCAGAGGAAAACCAAACAAAAATGCTGAATAATCATAAAGACAGATAATAAAAAGTGTTGGTGAGGATGTGAAGGAACTGCAACCTTCACACAGGTGATGGGAACCTAAGATGGTGCAGTCAGGACTTCCTCGGTGGTCCAGTGGTTAAGAATCTGCCTGCCAATGCAAAGCATGTGGGTTTGATCCCTGGTTGGGGAGCTAAGCTCCCATATGCCTCAGGGGAGCTACGGTCATGCGCCACCGCTACTGAGCCTGTGAGCTCCAGAGTACACGTGCCACACCTAGAGAGAAGCCTGTGGGCCACAAATATTTTAAAAAATATTTATTTAAGGGCTTCCCTGGTGGCCCAGATGGCAAAGAATCTGCCTGCAATGCAGGAGCCCCAGGTTCAGTCCCTAGGTTGGGAAGATCCCCTGGAGAAGGGAACGGCAATCCACTCCAGTATTCTTGCCTGAAGAATTCCATGGACTGAGGAGCCTGGTGGGCTACTCAGTCCATGGGGTTGCAAAGAATTGGACATGACTGAGCGACTAACACACACACACATATTTTTTTAAAAGATCAATTTGAAAAAAATTAAATTGTGTAGACACTTTGGATAACAGTGGTTTTTTTTTTTTTTGGCTGCACTGGATCTTGGTTGAGGCATGTGAACTCTTAGTTACAGCATGTGGGATTTGGGTCCTTGACTAGGGATTGAACCTGTGCCCTCTGCATTGGGAATGCAGAGTGTTAGCCAGTGGACCACCAGGAAGCCGTGGGTAACAGTTTCTGATAACAATTTCTCAGACCGTTAAACAGAGTTAGCATATGATCCAGCAATTCCATCCCATGTATACACCCAAGAGAGATGAAAACACACACCCACACAAAACTTGTACATGAATATTCATAGCAGCATCATTCATAATACCCTCAACGTGGAGACAGTTTAACTGTCCGTCAACTGATGAATAAATAAAATGCGATATTATTTTGGAATGGAATACAATGGAATATTATTCAGTAATAAAAAGAAATACTGGATACATGTTACAATATAGATGAACCTTGAAAAATTATGGTAAGTGTTACAGTCACAAAGACCACATATTATATGTACCACATATTATGCCAATATGTATATATACCACATATTATACCATTTCTATGAAATATCCAGAATAAGCAAATCTATAGAGACTGAAAGCAGATTAGTGGTTGCCTACAGCCGTGGGAGTGAAAGAAGAACACACTGGGGTGACAGGTAAGGGGTGTAGGATCTTCTTTCTGGAGTGATGAAAATATTCTAATATGAATTGTGGTGAAGGATGCGCAGCTCTGAATATACTAGGTCATTGAATACGTATTTTAAATGGGTGAACTGATACTAACGCATATATATGGAATTTAGAAAGATGGTAACAATAACCCTATATGCAAGACAGAAAAAGAGACACAGATGTATAGAACAGACTTTTGGACTCTGTGGGAGAAGGCAAGGGTGGGATGTTCTGAGAGAACAGCATTGAAACAAGTATATTATCAAGTGTGAAACAGATCACCAGTCCAGATTGGATGCATGAGACAAGTGCTCAGGGCTGGTGCACTGGGATGACCCAGAGGGAGGGGATGGGGAGGGAGGTGGGAGGGGGGTTCAGGATGGGGAACACCTGTAAATCCATGGCTGATTCATGTCAATGTATGGCAAAAACCACTACAATATTGTAAAGTAATTGGCCTCCAACTAATAATAAATAAATAAATGGGTGAACTGGATGGTATGTGAACTATATCAATAAAGCTGTTAAAAAAAACAAAACAAAACACTGAGAGTTCCCTGGTGGCCCAGTGGTTTGGACTCCATGCTTCCACTGCTGTGAAAGTGAAAGTGACTCAGTCGTGTCCGATTCTTTGTGACTCCAAGTCAGAATACTGGAGTGGGTAGCCTTTCCCTTCTCCAGGGGATCTTCCCAACCCAGGGATGGAAGCCAGGTCTCCCACATTGCAGGCAGATTCTTTACCAGTTGAGTCACAAGGGAAGCCCAGGGCTGTGGCCCCAGTTTAATCCCTGATCAGGGAACTAAGATCCTGCAAGCTGCTCCACACAACCAAAAAAAGAAAAGCACTAAAACTGTCTTCCATACCTAAACCCTTCCACACTGATTAACTGAAAATTAATCACTCATCCAATATAACAAAGGACTCACCTTGACACATAACTCCAACTGTTTCTAACTCCTCTAATGCTTATTAGCACCTGCCTATTAAATACAGTGTACAAAAAAAAAAAAAATAAATACAGTGTACATAAATGTCTGATGCATTTTCTTTTTACTTCCTTCCAGGAAAAGACTTGAAATAAAGAGGCTGTAACCAGCGGAGCCTCTGATCCCAAATTAGGAGTCTGGGGTTAACATATACACACTACTATATAGAAAATAGATAACCAACAAAGACCTACTGTATAGCACAGGGAACCCTACTCAATATTTTGTCATAACTTGATATGGGAAAAGAATCTGAAAAAGAATGGGTAACTGAATCACTTTGCATACACCTGAAACTAACACAACACTGTAAATCAACTAAACGCCAATATAAAATAAAAATCAAATTTAAAAAATAACAATAAACCTTCTGATGCCACACACAGACCTCGTTTCCACAAAATCCTCTGACTCGGATAAACTGACCTCGTTCAGCAAAACCTGGAGGCAAAGTGCTCACCCTGTCACCTAAAATTCTGTCTACAAAGCCAGCCAAACTCTCTTCAGTCTTTAGCAACTCTGATCAGAAAAGAGTTCTGGCAGCTGTTTCCCCTTCCCCCTGAGGGCAACTTCCCCTAACACCCTCCTCTCCCATCATATTGCCCTGGGTTGAAATTCTGGCCGAACCCTGCAGATTTTGCTCCTAGCAAAGAAAGGAGGTAGGAACCTTCAGACCGTTGTTGTGTGAGGCAACACCGATCTGGGGTTAGGGTGACGCAAACAGGCTCCTAAAGAGGTGCACCATTTAAGGAGGCGCCCACTCGAAGGTGCCAGCCCTGCCATTGCACAACCATGAAAATGAGCGCCTCCTTAAATGTTGCACCCTAGGCACCTCTCTTGCCTCACCCTCGTTAGTCCTGGCTCTGGGCTACTGGTTGCACCTTCTTCCATCAGTGATTCTCGGAAGACAGGGTTGGGTCTCTCCCTCAACGGTAACCTTGGAATTCCAGCTCCCAGTCAAATATTATGAGACTCCAAGCCAAACTCCAGGAGTTGGCGATGGATAGGCAGGCCTGGCGTGCTGCTATCCATGGAGTCACAGTCCAAGAGTTGGACACGACTGAGCAACTGAACTGAACTGAAGGCCAAAGGAGTTGCCCCAAGGTTACAGAAAACTCATTAAGTGTTGTTGACTTAAGGGGCTCAGTCAGAGACACACCTGCCAGAGACTCTTGGCCCACTTTTCCACCTGGGTTTACGGCGCCCTCCTCCCAGAGACAGAAACTCAGGGATCAGGAACTCAGGCCTGGCGGCCCCTCCTACCCCAGATCTCAGAAGCCCAGGCCTCCACCCCACCCCACCCGCCTTCCCTTTAGCCCAAGATGTCCAGGCCACCACCCTCTTAGACCCAGCATCCAACTCACGAAGCGCCCGAACTGGATGGAGTCTCCATCCTCAATGTGCCAGTCAGCCTGGGCCCCGCTAAGGCGGGAGATGACAGACTGGCAGCCGGGAAGTAGGGACCGGAGGAGCCCGGAGCCGGTAATGTGGTCCGCGTGGCAGTGGGTATTCACTGGGGGAGAGAGGAGGGCCAGGTCCGGGAGGGCACAGAGAGGACCCGGGATTCCCGGCCCCCAGCCCCCCAGCCCGCCCCCGCCCGCCCTGAGACCCAGGAGTCCGGGTCTCCGGCTTCCAGCTCCAAGCTACGGCCCCGCGCCCTCAGGCCCCGGGAGCTCCACACTGACCCGCATACAGCAGCCGCAGCCCCAGCTCCTTGACCAACTGGGCATCTCGTTGTGCTGTCTCCAGAACCGGGTCGATCAGAACCGCCTCTCGGGACTCTCGGTCCCCCAGAAGATAAGTATAGGTGCAGCTCTTGGGCTCAAACATCTGGGAAGGGAGGCGGGTACAGCTGAGAGCGCAGAATCGGACTTCCACTCATTGCGGACCCAGGAGTCCAGGCCTCAACTCTATTGTCTTCCTAAGATCCCGGCCCAGAAACTCCAGACCCGTTTTATTCCAGGAGTCAGGAGTCTGGGACCCCTGCACCTCACTCTGTCTAAACCAATGAATCCCAACATCCATCCGTCCCCAAATCCGGGTCCCCATCACCCATTCTGAAATAGAAGCAGGATTCCGGCCCCAAACCCGGGGGATTCCAGAACCGCCCCACCACCCTTTAAAGGACGCAAGAGTCTAGCCCCACACCCTTTCCTCAAAGATCCAGGATTGGGGCCAGGGTATCTCTCCGGATTTAAAGGACCCAGGAGTTCCGCCCTTGCACCCGCTCAGGACCCAGTAATCTCGCTCCCGGGTCCAGCCACAGCGAACCTGCCGTAGGAGAACGGGGGCTCCAGACCCTGTGTGTTGACTGAGCCGCCGGCCGGCGACCCTCAATGCAGACCCCGCCATCGTGCCCGAAGCAGACTGGGGACGGAGTGGAGGACGAATGCCCACGGAAGCCCGGTGCTCCGCAGGCTGACCCCGGGAGGGGCGGAGCGGGGCGGGGCCCGCCTTAAAGGAGCCGCGACTGCACGGACCGAGGGCGGGGCTGAGCAGAAGGAGGCTGGTGAGTTTGGAACGACTGAAAAGAAGAGACAGTAAGATCCAGAGAAACAAAGACCAGTCACCTCACACTGGCCTGAATGGCCATCATCAAAAAGTCTGTGAACAATAAATGATAGAAAAGGGAACCCTCCTACTTTGTTGGAAGAGTTACAACCACTATGTGGAGAACAGTATAAAGGGTCCTCAAAAAAAAAAAAAAAAAGCATCTGCCTACAATGTGGGAGACCTGGATTCCATCCCTGGGTCGGAAGATCCCCTGGAGAAAGAAATGGCAACCCACTCCAGTACTCTTGCATGCAAACTCCCGTGGACAGAGGAACCTGGTAGGGTACAGTCCATGGGGTCACAAAGAGTGGGACACGACTGAACGACTTCACTTCACTTCTTCACTTCAAAAAAATAAATAAATAAAAATGAACTACCATGTGATCCAGTATTCCCCCTCCAGGGGCATATATTCAGAGAAAACCACAATTGGAAAAGATACATGCACTCCAATATACACTGCAGCACCATTTACAGCAGCCAAAACAGGAAGTAATCTAAATGTCCATCAGCTGGGGGAATGGACAAAGATAATGTGGTATATAAATAAAAGGGAATATTACTCAACCATAAAAAATGAAATGATGCCATTTGCAGCAACATGTATAGACCTAGAGATTATCATACTATGTGAAGTAAGTCAGAGAGAAAGACAAATATCATGTGCTATCACTTATATGTGGAATCTTAGAAAACGATACAAATGAACTTATTTACAAAACAGAAACAGAGTCACAGACTTTGAAAACAAATGTATGCTTACCAAAGGTGAAAGGTTGAGAGGAGGGATAAATTAGGGATTAACATACACACACTACTACATATAAAATAGATAAACAGTCCTACTGTATAGCACAGGGAACTCTACTCAATATTCTGTGATAACCTATGTAAGAGAAGAATCTGGAAGGAATGGATATATGTATCCGTGTAAATGAATCACTTTGCTGTGTGCCTGAAACTAACACAACATTGTAAATCAACTATACTCCAAAATAAAATAAAAATTAAATTTTTTAAAAATCAGAAAAACAAAACACCGGGAGATACTCAAAGGTCAAGGGACATACACTGGGAGAAGCACAGACTTCCTTCTCTGGAGAAGTAGAAATCCAATAAGAGACCCCAATACACTCATAGCTCTGGGGCCATTTTATAGGAAAACCAGGCGTTGGACACCCATTTTTAGAAAAAAAAAAAGTTTGGTTCAATGTCATTAGTGTCCTGAGGGGCTGTTGGGTGGGTGCCTGGTTCCAGAACAACATATTATCCAATTAAAGTTTATTTAAAATTCGCTTAAGTATTTTATCAGGAATGTTTACCTCTTCCCAGGAAAAAATCATTTTAAAAATAATTTTCCAGAATTTCCTGGCCGTTCAGTGGTTAAGACTTGGCACTTTCACTACTGACAGGTCTAAGATCCCACAAGCCATTGCTGTTGCTAAGTCGCTTCAGTTGTGTCCGACTTTGTGCGACCCCACAGACGGCAGGCTCCCACCAGGATCCCCCGTCCCTGGGATTCTCCAGGAAAGAATATTGGAGTGGGTTGCCATTTCCTTCTCCAATGCATGAAAGTGAAAAGTAAAAGTGAAGTCGCTCAGTTGTGTCCAACTCTTAGCGACGACCCCATGGACTGCAGCCTACGAGGCTCCTCCATCCATGGGATTTTCCAGGCAAGAGTACTGGAGTGGGGTACCATTGCCTTCTCCCACAAGCCATTAGGTGCAGCTAAACAAATAAATAAATGCTTTCTAAGTTTCTTCAGTCATGTCTGACTCTTTGTAACCCTATAGACTGGCTCCTATGTCCATGGGATTCTCCAGGCAAGAATACTGGAGTGGGTTGCCATTTCCTTCCCCAGGGGATCTTCCCCACCCAGGGATCAAATCCTCATCTCTTAGTCTCCTGCATTGGCAGGCAGGTTCTTTACCACTAGTGCCACCTAGAAAGCCCCAAATAAATAAATAATTTTCCATGATGCTTTGCAAAATTGGGTTGGGAATCATTTGACTTCTTTTGGAATGTGAACCTCTAAAAATGGCTTTTGTTCATTTACACCAAGGACCTAGAGTTGAAACACATCTAGTCATGGGCAGTCTGAAACTTTGCTCTTTGGAATCATATCAATAGCGAGAATAGGGCACGTCACCATCACCTAGAGGGTCTAAATCACTTGGTCACAGATTCAGAGGTCAACTGCATCACATCATTTTATATGAGGTACATTAGCATTCCCCATTCTAGTAGCCAAGAGGGGTCCTGGAACTAACCACTCCCACCCCATCCCGTGGATACTGAATTCACGTTCATGCTCAGTCGTTTCAATCCTGTCCAACTCTTCATGACCCCGTGGACTGTAGCCGACCAGGTTCCTCTATCAATGGGATTCTCCAGGTAAGAATACTGGAGTAGGTGGCCAAGCCCTCCTCCAGGGGGGACTTTCCAACCCAGGGATCGAACCAGCATCTTCTGTGTCTCCAGGATTGCAGGCGGGTTCTTTACTGCTGAGCCACTAATTCTGTGGATGCTGAGGGATGACTGTAATTCTCCCTGTGATTGGGGAGACAGTCAGTGCTCCCTCTTTGGTCCTCTCCCCTTAGCAAACTTTGCTAGACTCCTAGTGTGTTTCTGATGGACTTTATGAGGGGAGAGACTCAGAGACAAGGAAGATGCTGAGACTCAGTGATACTGAGAGAGAGAGAGATCTGGAGAGTTTCAGAGATACATGGAGAGGCATAGAGTTGAAATGGGCTGTGGGTCAAAAGGAATATGGTCACAAAGATATACCTGGAGGGACTTTACTGGCTGTCCAGGGGTTAGGACTCTGTGCTTCTACTGCAGGGGGCACAGGTTTGATCCCTGGTCAGGCTCAGTTGGTAAAGAATCCGCCTGCAATGTGGGAGACCTGGTTTTGATTCCTGAGTTGGGAAGATTCCCTGGAGAAGGAAAAGGAAACCTACTCCAGTATTCTGGCCTGGAGAATCCCATGGACTATAAAGTCCCTGAGGTTGCAAAGAGTCAGACACGACTGAGCGACTTTCACTTTTGTTTTCTCTCAGGGAATAAGATCATGCATGCAACATGGCACAGCCAAAACAAAACAAAAAAAGACATACTTGGAGATTCTAGAGGGCTGTGGAGATGGGAAGAGATGTGGGGAGCAGGGAACATTAGAGCAGGGAGAAAGGTACAGGAAGGAGAGCCTGTCAGAACAGGCAAACACCCAGAGAAGGGAGAAACAGGCAGAAAGACAGGCTCAGACTCAAAGAGAGAACTTGGTTCAGTTATCCTCACATTGAGGTGTCCTGAAGGTTTGGCTCAAGCTGGGTGAAGTTGGAGATGCAGAGGTGAGTCCTCAGTCTGGTTGGTGGGGAAAGAGGAGCAGACATCAGGCTTAAAACAAGAGGTACAGGGATGGCCAGGCGCTCAGGGGAGAGAGGTCAGGAAAGCAGGGGCCCTCAGGCACTTTACTGTGAGGATCCCCCAAATAAAACCTCCTCAGCCCTGGGGCCCATTCCTAACTGTTCTTGCAGGATCTCTAGACTGTTACCTGTCCCTTGATGGAATGCATGCTCTCTGGAGGTTTTATAAGGTTAGCTGTGAGGCGTCCTAAGAGTTAGAAACTAGCATCACTCTCCCCAGCTGCTGACCTCAGGCTCAAAACTTAACCTCTTCTGCACTTCTGTTTTCTCATCTGTAAATTGTGGCTGAAAATAGTTCCTCCCTCACTGTAAAGGTCTAAGTTTATTGAATATAAAGGTTCACAGCAGCATTATTTACAATTGCCAGCACATGGAAGCCACCTGTGTACAGCCACAGAGGAATGGGTAAGGAAGATGTGGTGTATATATACAATGGAATACTACTCAGCCATAAAAAAGAACGAAATTTTGCTGTTTGTAGCAACATGGATGGACTTGAAGGGCATTCTGCTAAGTGAAATAAATTAGAAAGAAAAAGGCAAATACCGCATGATATCACTTATATGTGGAATCTAAAAAATACAACAAGCTACTGAATATAACAACAACAACAAAAAGCAGCAGCAGCAGACTTACAGATAAGTACAAACTAGCGGTTACCAGTGGGGAGCAAGAAGTGGGGAGGGGCATTACATGGGTAGAGGATTAAGAGGTATAAACTATCAGGTGTAAAATAAGCTACAAGGATATATTGTGCAAATGGGGAATATAGCCAATATTTCATAATAACTATAAATGGAATATAACCTTTATATTCAATAAACTGAATCATCAGACTAAACACTTGTAATTTATATACTATTGTCAGCAACTATATTTCAATTTAGAAAAAAATCAAATGAGTGCACGCTTGCAAAAAGTTTGGCAGATCACTTGGCACGGAACAATTTCTAGGTGTTGTGCTCCCAGGGAGGTGGCTCTCCTTATTTCATCATCATCCTTGACTCCTTCCTCCTTTTACTACTTCCTTTCCATTCATTACTAAGCCCTGTTGAATTAACCTCTCCAATCAGATCACTTTTCCATCATCATGCCCTCTGCCCCAGTCACAGAGGCAGCAAAGCAAGAACATAAATTACATGGATTCCAGGGTTAGGCTGCAAGGGTTCAAATCTTGGCCCTGCTTCTTTCTGCTTGAATAAGTCGTAGTGCCTCTTTTTTTTTTTTGGCTGTTCTGGGTCTTAGTTGCAGTATACAGTATCTTTAGTTGTGGCATACAGACTCTTAGTTGCAGCACATGGGATCTAGTTCCCTGACCAGGGTTTGAACCTGAGCCTTCTGCATTGGGAGCATGGTGTTGAAGCCACAGGATCACCAGGGAAGTCCCAGTGCCTCATGTTTTTAAAGGAATTTATTTATTCTTATTTTTGGCTGTGCTGGATCTTCCTCGGGGCGCATGAAGTCCTCGTTCCTATGCACGGGCTTTCTGTAGTTGCAGCCAGTGGAGTCTACTCTCTAGTTGCCAGTGCACATGCTCTAGAGAACCAGCTCACTAGTTGTGGCACATGGCCTTAGCTGTCTCACAGCAACTATGAAAGATGTGAGCTCTTCTTGGACCAGGGATGGAAACCATGTCCTCTGGATTAGCAGGCAGCTTTTTAACCACTAGATCACTAGACCAGAGAAGTCCCACTGTGCATCATTTTTATAATAGTAGCACCTCCTCTTGAGAAAACTGCTGTCAGGATTAAATGAATGAACATCTATAAAGCACTCAGGACAATTTCTGATATGAAAGATTAGATGCTGTAATGATAATTATTACAAAATTATATTATTTTTAACAGTTAATAATATAATTAATATATAACAGCCGCCTCACTGACTTGTCTTCCACTCTGCTTCCCGATGATCCATTTTCCATGCAGTAACCTTTTAAATGAACCTTTTAAAATGTTAAAGAAGAGACTGAAGACTCACAGCAAACAAATCCAACGTGTGGATCTTATTTAACTACTGATTCAAACAAACCAAGCATAATAAAAAGATTTTTATGGAATAGGAGGCCTGGTATATAGCTTCAAAAATGACCTGGGAGGAGTGGGTGGGGAAATGAACCCAAATAATCCTTCCTTATAACTCCCATGACTGCCAGGGTTTGCCAGATCTTGTGGATTATCAAACTGAAGACCCACCCATGCGGGCGTAGTTTATGGGCACTTCACGATCATTCCTGTGCGGGGCGGGGAGGTGCACCGTCACGTAATGGTGCCAAGCAAGACACCCTGGGCCTAGCATCAGGAGCTCCGGACAGGAACACGGGAGCCCGAGAAACGTGGACACTGCCGCCCTCCCTGCCCCAGGGTCTTAGCATTGGGGGGCGAGGGGCTGAGAATCCTGAATCACCCAACGACGGAAAGTGCCGGGCGCTGTGCAAATAACGTGACTTTCACTGGGCATCAGCTGCTTCTGAGCTCGGTGTCTCGCTTCCGTCCTCTCTTGAGGAAATGGCTACCCTTTCCTTGCCAGTGCCTTAAAGGGGAGAATAGGAAGCGGGTTCTTGAAACTGATTCGAGAGACGGAACTCAAGCTCCCAGCGGAATTCTCGAAAAGAAGGGGAACGTAAAACGAGGAAGCTGTCTCAGTGATCTCCGAGTTAGGTTTCCCCGCGTTAACTCCTGCATGTGCTTGACTCCAGTCAGCCACCGTAGGCCCCGCAAGCCGCAGGACACTTTGCTCCGGTCCTTTGGCCTATTAGCTCTGCGCCTGCTCGCCAACTCGCGGGCCTGGCGCACCCACCCACTCCTTCCATTCCAGCTCCTCCGCAGCAGCCCCCGCGGACCGCGACTGCGCATGCGAACTGACGCCCCCACCGGCCCGGCGTGGGAGGAGGGGATGGAAATGAGGCTGGGCCCAGCAGCTCGCGCGCGCTCCCTCCTTTTCCCTCCCGTCGCTGGGCGCGCGCCGGGTGGTGCAGCTCCCCGGCATCCGAAGGCAGAGCTGCAGTGGCCAAGGCCGCCAAGGGAGGGGCCCGGAGCCCCGCCCCCAGGGAGGGGCCGTCCGCAGGTGAGGGGGCAGGGGTTCGGACCCAGACACCTGGGTCTTTGGGAAGTGGAGTGGGGCCTGGACGTCACAGTTCCCGGAGAAGAACCCATTGGGGTCCTGATGCATAGGTTCCGGAGGGGGCTGCATTGGCGCCTGAGCCTTGGGAGGGTGCATTGATGCCCGAATGCCATGATCCCAAGGGGTGCGTGAAGGCTCGGACGCTTGCGACCTCGAGGGAGAAGTCCATTATGGGTCTCTGGATCGCAACACACGATTCACGCCCTTTCTGTGTCTTCCTCCAGGTCTCCCCTCTCCTCTCCACGTCTCCAGCTCCGCGGTTGAAAAGGCAGTGCACACGGCGTCAATGAACTGAGACTGAGCCAAGAGCCGGGTAAAGCTACCTATTGGGTGTGAATTCCCGCACACTGAGTTCGTAGGCCCCTCCCCTGGGACAGAGTTGCTGAGCAACCGACTTCGAGTCTTAATTGTATAGCTCCACCCATCCGCGGCCGGTCCCGCCCACCGTGGGCTTAGACCCCGCCTGCTCCGCGCCCGGGGCTGCTGGGAGTTAAAATTGTAGAGGCCCCGCCCACTCCGCAGGAAGGCTCAATCGCCGGGACTAGGTTCCAAACAAGACTGCTTCTGGGTCGGGTTTGCGTAACCCCGCCCACTGTGCCCTTAGGCTCCACCCACCCTCGCCTTCTAGGACCCGACGTGATAGCCCCTGCTCCTGAACAAACTAACCCCTGAATATGGGCTCTCAGTCCTATCCCCAACAGCCTGATAACCCCCGGCGTCGCCCCCTCTCCCGCCCTAGGCCCTCCCTCTAGGTTTCTGGGCCAGCAGGATGCTGGAGCGAGAGGCGGAGACTGCGGCCGGGGGCGCCGAGCCTAGTCCCACTGACAAGGAGCCTGTGACCAAAGGAGAAGGTGAGGGCGTCTCCACCTGGGGTAGGGGTCGTTCTCCAGGAATTGGAGCCAAGAGAGTCACATATTGTGGGAACCTTAGGGTGATAGTTTGAGGGCCCAGGGTGATAGCCATTTCGGATCCCCAAAACTCAACGTTCTGGGGGAATCATCCGGGTGTTTTGGGGGGGGGGGCCTCAGTGATCCTCTGTAAGGATTTCAGGGTTATCACTTGGGAGGATACTGGAAACGGACATTTTACTGGCTTTGGGAAAGCTTAGGTCTGAGGTTCCAGCGACGTAATTTTTTGGAGCCTGCCTTAGGAGGATGCATGGCAGTGGGTGAGGAGCAGGATCAAGCCATTTGGGGAACCTCAATATGACCCTGGAGTTGTCCAGATATACTAGAATGTCAAGGTCGAGGGGGAGTCTGGTCTAGATTCAGGGTGTTGGCTGCTTTCTGGAGCCCACCAATCCTCCTGTCCCCTAGCTCCCGACCAGGGCCCGCCGCAGAAGCCCAGCCAGTCTGTTCCAGGGCCCGCTGCCTCCACGGGGGCGCCTTCCCGACCCCGCCGGAGACCCCCGCCCCAGCGCCCGCACCGCTGCCCCGACTGTGACAAGGCCTTCTCGTACCCGTCCAAGCTGGCCACGCACCGGTTGGCACACGGCGGCGCCCGTCCCCACCCGTGCCCCGACTGCCCCAAAGCTTTCTCCTACCCCTCCAAGCTGGCCGCCCACCGCCTCACGCATAGTGGCGCCCGCCCGCACCCGTGCCCGCACTGCCCAAAGGCCTTCGGCCACCGCTCCAAGCTGGCAGCCCACCTCTGGACCCATGCTCCCGCCCGCCCCTACCCGTGCCCCGACTGCCCCAAGTCCTTCTGCTACCCCTCGAAGCTGGCGGCCCACCGCCACACGCACCATGCTACCGACGCCCGCCCCTATCCTTGCCCTCACTGCCCCAAGGCTTTTTCATTCCCCTCCAAACTGGCGGCCCATCGCCTGTGCCATGACCCCCCGACTGCACCGGGCAGCCAGGCCACCGCGCGGCACCGCTGCTCCAGCTGCAGCCAGGCGTTTGCCCAGAGACGCCTCCTACTCGTTCACCAGCGCAGCCACCACCAGGCTGAGAGCCCCGGGGAGCGGGAGTGAGCGCTCCTCTTGGCTCACTGGCTCCCTCTGCTGCCAGCCCCAGTCAATAAAGAGGTGGCATCTCTAAGCCAGGCTGTATGGACTTGCCTCTTCCAGGTAGAAGGGAAGTTGCCCCCGCATTGGGCTCGAACTTAGAGGCAGAGGAATCCCTTGTTTGGGGGAAAGGAAAGTGTCATCCATAAGCGTTTGCACTGAGTCCCAAATCATGGACCTGGAGGAGTGGTTAGAAAGCTCTTGGCTCTGGTTTCCCCCCCCCCACCGATTCATATGGCAAAGGTTACAGTTCTGCTAGCATTGTGTGCTGCTGAGGAGTGTGTGGAGGCAAGCTCTCATTGTTGTGAGTTTAAATTAGTGCCTCCACTTTGGCCATTGACTGTGTGTGCGTGTGTTAGTCGCTCAGTCGTGTCGACTCTTTTCGACCCCATGGATCCCTGTAGCCCACCAAGCTCCTCTGTCTATGTAATTCTCCAGGCAATACTGGAGTGGATAACCATTCCTTTCTCTAGGGGATCTTCCTGACTCACAGACTGAACCCGGATCTCCTGCACTGTGGGCAGATTCTTTACCATCTGAGCCACCAGGGAACCCCCAAATATAGGTATAAAGAACTTTGAATGCGTCTATGTTCGTGTCAGCTATTGCACTTCTAAGAATTTATCCTAGCACTTGGGCTGGGCGGGGGGGGGAAGGGTATAAGATTAAGGATGTTCACTGCAGTACAATGGCAGTGCCAAAGATGAGAAATAACCTGAGTGCCCATTGATAGGGGACCAGCTAAGGAATTATAGTACAGCCACAGAATGGAAGATGTAGCTGCAGGGGGGGGAAAGTCAGCTCTACATGCACTGACGTGGAAGCATTCCCAAGGTATACTAAATCATAAAAGCAAGCACAAAGGGTGTACTACCAGTAGTATAAACATTTTTAAAAAGCCCAAGCTTTGGAGCCATCTTTGACCCACTGCTTAAGAGCCTCGGGGCCTCAGACAAGTTTTGTGATTTCTCTGGACTCAGATATATCTTATCTATAAAATGGGAAGTTTTTTTTTTTTTTTTAAATTTTGGCCACACTGCACGACTTTCACAATCTTAGTTACCCAACCAGGGACTGAACCCAGGCTGCTGGAGTAAAAGTGCTGAGTCCTCACCACTGGGCTGCCAGGGGATTCCCAAATGGGAGTATTATAAGGCCTTTACAAGCACCTTTTTGGGCAAAGATGGTTCCCCTGTTGGAGCCCGTTTCTCCTGCTGTAAAACAAGGAAGACTGGGCTAACAGTGGGCTGCTCTTCACTCTGCAGACATGTGTTAGGCAGGTACTGTGAGCTGAGCCCTGCACAGGGTGTTAGGAACGGGGCAGTGAACAAGACAGACCTGGTCTAGTGAGGGGGGTGGACACCAGCCAAAGAGTTGCAAAAACAAGAGAAAGAAGCCAGGAACTTCTCTGGTGGTCCAGTGGCTAAGAACTCCGTGTGTCCAATGCAGAGTGCCCAGGTTCGATCCCTGGTCAGAGAACTAGATCCCACAAGCTGCAATGAAGATCAAAGATCCCATGTGCTAAGACCTGGTTGTCATTCAGTCGCTAAGTCGTATCCTACTCTTTGTGACCCCAAGGACTGCAGCACACTAGGCTTCCCTGTCCTTCACTATCTCCTTGTGTAGCCAAATAAATAGTCTATAAATAGTACTGTAGAACATATAGGTTTAAAAAAAAGTAAAGAAGCCAAGTCCACATTGGAAGAATGATACAGCCGTCATAATGAGGCTGGTGACGTTGGCTTGGGAACAGGCTGGACGGAGGGCACTGAGAGCTCGGAAACAGACCTGTGCTTACAAGGCCCCGTCAGGAGATGCTCCCCACCTGTATACTCAGAGGTTGGCGAACTTCCTCTGTAAAGGGCCGAGCAGTATATCTTATTAGGTTTTGCAGGCCACACAGGGTCTGCCACCACCACCCAGCTCTACTGCTGTGCTGCCAAGGCGGACAAACACATTAGGATATAAGGATGAGCGTACCCGTGTTCCGACCAAACTTTATTTACAAAGAGCCGGTGGGCGGGATTCTGCCCGTGGACTGTAGTTTGCCAGTCCCTACCACAGACGAGCCGGGGAAGGATAGCTAATCAGCAAATAAGCTGAGAGATAAGAGAAGAAAATTAAATGAGACCCTGTGGTCGGCAGAATAATGGTCCCCCAAAGATGTCCATGTCTTAATCCCCGGAACCCGAGTTTGTGTTGGCTTCCACACGGCAGAGGGGACTTTGCATACATGACAAAGGAGCTCTTTTCGAGATGGGAGATTATCCTGATTATTCCAGTGAGCCCAATGAAATCACAAGGGTCCTTACATGGGAAAGCGGGAGGCAGAAGAGCCAGATGTGACAATGGAAGCAAACACTGGAGTGATGGGGGGCCACGAGTCAAGGAATGCAGGCAGCTTCTCGAAGCTAGAAAAGGTGAGGAAATGGGTTCTCCCCTAGAACCTCCAGAAGAAACACAGCAAAATAAATTTTTAAATACATAAATAAAATTAAAAATAAAATTTAAAAGACAGGAGGAATACAGCCCAGACATCACCATGTTTTTACCCCAACTCAGACTGATTTTGGTTTACTGACCTCCAGAACTGTAAGAAAATCAAGTTGTATTGTTTAAATCCTGTGATCTTGGTAATTTGTTACAGCAGTGTAGAAATGAATACAGCTCTCTCTACCTTACAGCATACACAAAAATTAAGTTGCTAGTGATTTAAGATCTAAGTTTGAGACACAAGACTCTGGAGCATTTAGATGGGAATAAAAGAGAATATCTTAGCAACCTCAGAGACAGAGAAACTTTAAGACACAAAAAGTATAAATTGTAGAGGAAAAGACTGCTGAATCTGATCATGAGCAAACCAAGTTACAACTGTGATAGAGATACATAAGGGCTGGGTTTTTTTTTTTTTCTTTTTGGCCCCACCATATGGCATGTGGGATTTTAGTTCCCTGTCCAGGGATCAAACCCGTGCCCCCTGCTTTGGGAGTGCAGTCATAACCACTGGACCAAGAGGGAAGTCCAAAGATAGAGTATTATGAGTATGCATGCTAAGTCGCTTCAGTCGTGTCTGACTCTTTGCAACCCTATGGACTGTTGCCTGCCTGGCTCCACTGTCCGTAGGATTCTCCAGGCAAGAATACTGGAGTGGGTTGCCATGTCCTCCTCCAGGGGATCTTCGCAACCCAGGGATCCAACCGGTGTCTCTTATGTCTCCTGCATTGCAGGCAGGTTCTTTACCACTAGCACCACCTGGGAAGCCCTATTGAGTGTATGAAAGTGAAGTGAAAGTCGCTTAGTCGTGTCTGACTCTTTGCAACCCATGGACTATACAGTCCATGGAATTCTCTGACAGAATACTGGAGCAGGTAGCCTTTCCCTTCTCCAGGGATCTTCCCAACCCAGGGATCAAACCCAGGTCTCCTACATGGCAGGTGGATTCTTTACCAGCTGAGCTACCAGGGAAGCCCATTATGAATGTATACCTGGCATATACTGTTAAATACAGAAAGTTAGGAATGGTCTTCTTGAGGAGCTATTGTTTGAGCTTGGATCTGAAAGGTGGGGAGGATGGAATGCAAGGTGGTTTGTGGAATCTCCAGCATCAGGCACCAGACAAATGAAAACCAGGGGCCGCAGGATGGCAGGCTGCTCAGCAAGGCCCTAGGGGAGGGACAGCCAAGGGGCAGGATCTCTCCTCTGAAGCCGGCAGTACGGCCTGTGTCCATGTTTACCATGGAGCTTGTCCTGGCAGATCTTCTAAGAAGCAACCATACTGCCATCCAAGTCTCAAGGACACAAACTCATTTGGAAGGTGTTCATCTCGTCCAACCTTAGCTTGTCTAGACCAGAAAGCTGACTCCTAGAGATGGGATTTGGCCATACCCAAACAAGGGGACAGGGCTTCCCAGGTGGCAATATTGGTGAAGAACCCAGCCTGCCAATTCCGGAGATGCACGGTAAGCGGGTGTGATCCCTGGGTCGGGAAGATCCCCTGGAGAAGGAAATCGCAACCCACTCCAGTATTCTTGCCTGTGAAATCCTATAGACAGAGGAGCCTGGCGGGCTATAGTCCATGGGATCGCAGAGTTGGACAGGATTCAGCACGCACACGCATCATGCACCTGATGCTGGAGATTCCACAAACCACCTCGCATTCCATCCTCCCCACCTTTCAGATCTGAGCTCAAACAATAGCTCCTCAAGGCCTCTCCTAACTCTCAGTCAGACAGGACTGAGCACGCATAGAAACAAGGGGACAGTGTTGAGTCTGGGTGGGTCCCGTTTTCCTGACATCCCGATGCCCTGCTGCTCCTTGCATGTGTCCTGCCTTGCTTTTCCTCTGCCTGGAATGGTTGCCCCAGACCCTCCCTTACTCCTTCTGAGTCCCTGCCAATGGGTGAGTGCTCGGAGATGCCTTCCCCGTGACCCTGTCACTCTCATCGCTGGATAACCCCACCCAGCCTTCTCTGCTCACACAAGGTTTATAGCCATGCTGCAAGACACTCGCCATCTCTGTCCCCCAGCAGAATGTCAGCCCCATGAGAGCAGGGATTCATGTCTCGTTTGGCACACCAGAGCCCCAGTGTCTTACACATGGTGGGTGTGGTTGGCAGAGTAATGACCCCCCAAAGACGCCCACAGCCTGATCCCTGGAACCTATGGATAGGTGGAGGTGAATTAAGAGAGCAGAAGGGGGCTTCCCTGGTGGTTCAGTGATAGAGAATCTACCTGCCAGCGCAGGAGACACAGGTTCGACCCCTGACCTCGGAAGATCCCACAGGCCTCAGAGCAACTAAGCCTGGGCACCACAACTATTGAGGCCATGTGCCCCAACTATTGAAGACTGCCCACTCTAGAGCCTGTGCTCAGCAATGAGAGAAGCCACCGCAATGAGAAGCCTGGGCAACTCAACCAGAGTAGTCCCCGCTTGGTGCAACAAGAGAAAAACTCACATAGCAACGAAGACCTAGCACAGTCAGAAATAAATAAATAAAAAAATTTAAAGACAGCATAAGGAATGAAGGTTGCTAATGGGCCGACTTTAAAACCAGATTATCCCAGGTTATACAGGTGGGCTCAGTGTAGTCCCAAGGAATCAGCGTCAAGAGTGATGCAGCATGAGAAAGATTCCAATGGCTGTTGCTGGCTTTGGAGATGGAAGGGGCATGGGCTGTGGGATGAAAGTTGGGAAAGAAGGACACAGATTCTCTCCCAGAGCCCCAGGACTGGAGCCCTGCCTGCACCTTGATGGTTAGCCCGGTGAGACCCATTTCAGACCCCAAAGCTAGGAGGTTATAACCTCTCCTTTAAGATACAAAGTTTGTTGTCATTTGCTCCCTAGCTCTGATCCTGCCCTTTGCCCTTCAACCCTTTCCCAACCTCCCCAGGATGAAGTCCAAGCTTCTGGGCTCGCGTCCACTGCACTGCAGGGCTGCCCTGTCCTGCCTTCTACAGTGAGGGAAGGCTCTCCGTCAGCACTGTCCAGACCAGCAGCCAGTGGGCACTGGAACTGTGGCCAGTGTGACTGAGGAAGAGAATTGTTCCTTCCACTTCACTATTGCGAAGTTTTTTTTTTTTATTTTTATTTATTTTTTTTTGAAGCTTTTGTTTTTTGCTACACCAAATGGCAAAATGGCATGCAGGACCTTAGTTCCCTGACCAGGGATCAAACCCATCTTCCCTGCAGTGGAATTACATAGTCCTAACCACTGGAAGCTAAAACTCCAATACTTTGGCCACCTCATGCGAAGAGCTGATTCACTGGAAAAGACCCTAATGCTGGGAGGACTGGGGGCAGAAGGGGACAACAGAGGATGAGATGGCTGGATGGCATCACCGACTCGATGGGCATGAGTTTGAGTAAACTCCGGGAGTTTGTGATGGACAGGGAGGCCTGGCATGCTGCGATTCATGGGGTCGCAGAGAGTCAGACACAACTGAGCGACTGAACTGAACTGAACCACTGGATCACCAGGGAAGTCCTAAAGGTGGTTGTGTTTAGTATTTTTTTGGCTGTGCTACATGGCACGTGGATCTCCCCCAACCAGGGATTGAACCCATGCCCCTGCATTGGGAGCATGGAGTCTTAACCACTGGACCACAGGAGAAGTCCCCATCCCACTTACACCTTCTACTCTGATTCTCTAACACCCAGGTCAGTTCCCACCTTAAATATGGTGAAGCCTTAAAAGGAGTCTGGGATTTGTGGAGGGTGATTTAAATGCCCCTTCCCTAGCTCTCCCTCCCAAATTAGGTGACGTCAAACCAGGCTGGGGATGGTTTCACAGCTACTTCTGAGAGCCCTGGATAAAGGTAAATGTCCTTGGCCCCAGGGAGCTGAGACTTCGAGAGAGGCCACCTCATGAGCATCCCAGCCTGCAGCCCAGGAACCCCAGAGGGACAACTGAGATACGGGAATGGGCTCCGGGGATCCGAACCAGCTGAGGGGTGGCGCTGAGTGTCAGATTCCCAATCCCCTGCCACCTGCTGCCAAAGCAGGGAGGCACCAGGGAGAAGTAACAAGGCGCTCCTTCCCAACCAGGCCCCGGACAAAGCGCCTGTGTTCTTCCGGAGACCCCAGGACAGGAGTCATCAGGTGGCCCAAAGACCCGGCCTTCAGAGGCGAGTGGAACCAAACATGAGACAGAAAGCAGAGCGCCTGCTGGGGGTTCTCAGAGATGCGAGTGGGAGGGGCAGCTGCTCCAAGCCAAGTCTCCTTTATTAAACTCGTGTGAGTGTGTGTGTATGTGTGCCTGTATGCGTGCCCATGTGAGTGCGTGTGCGCACACATATGTCACGCCCGGGGCACCACCCCGTAGAGCTGGTGGGGAAGTAGCTTCTGCTTCTCGCTGCAGCTGTAGATCCAGCGGGGGCGGACGAACACCAGGGAAGGGTTGTCCATCAGAGCCTGCACGGGGCGAGGGCAGCGGGAAGCGTACAGGCAGGAACACGTGAGCCGGGAGGGGCTGGGGCTATGTGCCAGGGCAGGCTGGGCTCCCTCTCCCTGCCCCTCCAGGACTCACCTCCTCAAAGCTGGGGTCCCACTCCTGCGCGGTGATCACAAACTGGACCCGCTCACTCATGTGGTCCTCAAGCTCCCTGGTGGGGGAAGCGAAGAGGCGAAGAATCGGCGTCCCCTCTCTTGACGCCCTCCTCCCCAACCATCCTCAGGGGCCGTCCTCTCTCCATCCCCACCCACGTCCCCGGGGGCCACCCATGGGTCCCCCACTCTCCACGTGCCAGGCTCGCCGCATCCATGAAAGCACCAGCTCCGGCCAGCACCAATCCTTTCAGAAGGGCGGTGAGGAGCCTCACTTTAGAGAAGAGGAAGTGGGGGTGAAGGGGTCGGGGATGGGGAGTTTGCGGGTGTGGTGTGGAAAGCTATGCATCCAGGGTCCCAGCACAGCGAGCAGGGCTGGCACGGAGCTCCACAGCCTGTGTCGACCCTCAGGGTACATCCCTTCTCCATCCTCCCCACGACCACCCACCCCCCCCAACCCCTGCCCCCGGAGACTGACCCGTTGAAGGCTGTGACATAGCGGCTGAGCCTCCGCCGCTCGTCCCCTGGGAACTCCCCGTAAAGGAAGAAGCGTTTGCCCTGGAAGAAGTCTGCAGGGGAGAGATGGAGAGGGGAGAGCCAACGTGAACCCCTGGAGTCCCGGGGTGCCAGCCAGGAGCCACGGGACACGCGCAGACAGGACAGGAAGGCCGGTGCAGCGGCTGGACGGGGTGAGGGGTGTCATGGACACCTGGCTCAGAAGCCATCCCTGACAATCAGTGGTTCCAGGCAGGCCTAATGGGGTTTTGTTTCATATTAATGGCAAAAGATACAATTACTATCAGTGACAACATGTTTCTTACACCAGGTCATTCAGTTCCTTAACTTGGTCGGGGGTTGGAAATTTCACATCTTGCCACTTCCTCGATTGGCTGGCTCACTCCTTTTAACCAGTGCCTTCTCTGGCCCTGACCTTCGGGGTGGCTCTTCATTCCAGTTTAACATGATTTTGTGTTTAGTTGCCAAGGTCACGTTTGGGGCTTTGGAGGAGGATCAGGGTATGTTCCTGCCCATCACTTATGAGGAACCAGGTGGAAATGGCTTTTTCCAATGGCCACTGACCCTCACCTCCACTCAGAGCCTCTGACTGCCTGGCTCTCCTTTCACTCTCTCTTTCTTGGCTGCGCCGCGCCACACGCGGGATCTCAGTTCCTTGACCAGGGATCAAACTCAAGATCCCTGCAAGGGAAGCCTGGAGTCTTAACCACAGGACCACCCGGGGAGTCCCCCTCCTTTTATTCTTGACCAGAAGAGGCTCCGATGCCTGCCCCCATGTCTGGGATGATGTATAGCAAGGCGGGTCCCAACAGGGATCAGTGCATCTGTGTTCCCTGAGCCCCACACCCACCGACAAAGCTGAACCCGGGGGTGTAGCCAGGGTACCTGCAGATTCTTAAAGCCCCCAGGTTGGTTGAAGCCGAGAGAGTGGGAGGCCCCTGTGGTGAGGGGGTGAGAAGCTAAAGAGGGTCTGGCGGGGGGCTGGACTGTGAGGGAGGTGGTCATAGTGGAAGTCAGGATGAGACAGGCAGGAAAGGATGCTGACCGGAAGGGAACGGGCCTAAGAGGATACGGAGGTGGCAAAGGTCAGGGAGGAGGGTGAGGAGCCTGGGAGACAAGTCAGAGTGGGCAGTGGCCATCCCAGGGGGGGCCTGGGGCAAGTCACTTAGAGAAGTGACAGGGCCAAACCCCACATCGGGAGGGAGGGTTCCCACCTGGGAGCTCAGGAATCGGCAGATCGGGAGACTCTGGGGGGCCCTCATGGTCCGTGTTCTCATCTGTGGATCCTGCGTACGGGTCCTCGCCATTCTCCTCCTGACCAGGGGGCTGCCTTTGTTCCTTCTGCTCGGCCACCCTGGGGAGGCCAAGAAGGGTGGGGAAGGAGTGTGCATACCGGATCCCCCTCCACCCGAGGTCGTGGCCACCCTGACCACCCAGCCCCACCCTACCTTCTCAGCTCGTCCTCGGTGTCCCCAGAGTCTTCTGCCCCGTTGTCCTGTCCTTCTGTGAGTAGACGCTTAGTCAACTCAAGGCCCCTACCTCCCAGTCTCACACCTGAGCACAGATGGGGTGTCCCAACCCCTAACTCAATTGCTCCCCAGATCCAGTTGGGGGTGAGGGGGTAGCCTCCCCACCCCCCCAGATCCACTGTTTGGGATCCAGCCCCATCTTGCTAGACCCAGGAGCTCAACCTTGGAACTCCTTCCCCTTTTAGATGAGGGAGTCTGGGTCTTCAGCCCCTCCTCCCTCAGACCCAAGAGTCCAGGCCCCCAGCCCCTCCTTCCTCAGACTCGGACCTGCCTGCTCCGCCTCAGTGTCATCATTCTCTTCCTGGGCCCCTGGTGAGGCTGGTTTGGTCTCTTCTGGGGTTGGGGGTCTCTGGGGTGAGCTGGGTCCAGCTGCCTGAGGGGGCTTGGCTTTGGTCTGCGGGCGCTGAGGAGGGAAGGTGGGCCAGGGAGGAGGGAAGGGGCAAAGAGGGTGTGAGTGTGTGCCCACAGGAGACAGGAGCAAAGAGTTTGGGGTACCATGTCCTCCCCGACTCCACCCTCCCCCGTGCCGGGCAGGGGGCATGGACCTTTCGGGGAGCCTTGGGGGCTTCATCCCCACTGCCGCCGCTGTGAGAGCCCCCCTCGTCCTCGCTGCTTGAGCCTGACCCAGCCATGAGGTACCTGGGGGAGGGATCGGGCCTCAGACCAACAGCAGACGTGTCCTCCGGGGGAGGTGGGGAGGGGGCTTAAGAAGCAGCAGGCACTGGCACTGACTATCAATAAATAAACCCTCAGGGTGCAATCATGGTCTCCCTCCTGGTTCGCCCCTCCTTCCAGTGGGCCCAGCGACCCACACCATAGACCACAGCAATCCCTGTCTTCTCCTCCCTCTGAGGGAAGAAATGTCTCATTTCGGAAATGAAAAAAAAAAAAAACCAGAAATAATTCTCTCCTTCAAGCATCAAAGTCAGTTAAGGGAAAAATCTCAAAAGCAAACTTCCTACTGCCAAGCACTGTTGGAACACCTGACAGGTTCAGAGTTGCTGAATCCGGAGGCGGGTGCTATTTTTAGTCCCATTTTACAGATGAGGAAATGGAGGCCCAGAGAGATGAATCAAGTGGCCCCAAATCACAGGGCAGAGTGCCTACGCAGCAGAAGCAAATGAACCTGTTGGCGATGCTGCCCTGGTCCCCACGTTAAGACCCTTCTGCACGTGATATGGTTGTTTCCAACCTGGTGATGCCCTTTCCGGGTAAGTCACCCTCACTGTAGAACCATGGCTCGTGGGAAAACTCAGAAGACTTAAAAGTGGTGGGGCCTTCCCCGGTGGTCCAGGGGCTCAGACTGCTAAAGGAGCCCCTCCTCCCGACAGACACCAGGCTGACCCAGCCTCAGCTCCTCCGACTCTGCTCAGCCTGGCAAACCTCTTCTCCTCCTTGAAGAACCCTGGCTCACTGCAGTTCTCCCTGTGGGCCCTCCTCCAAAGTATTTCACAATAAGTCTGGCCCCTCATCAAAGTCAGAGGCTCTCGAAAGGAGGGACCGATGTCTGGGGTCCGGCGGTGGGCAGCCCAGCCTGACACCAAGCAGGGGTTTCAGATGAATGAATGCCCACAGGTCCCAACACTTTGTTCTCCACCCTGAGCCTTTGTGAACACTGTTTTTCCAGCCTGCAGCCTTTTCCTTTGCTAAGCAGACTTCCCAGAGCCCTCCTGGGACCTCCGGGGACGCCCTCCCTCTCCTCCCCATCCTGCCCCTCCTCCTCTGGGAAGTCGGCTGACTCCGGGCTGGCAGGCCACAGCCTGATTTCTCCCCAGATCCCTGGTGCTGCCGGGCGCGGGGATGAGGGGCAGGGTCCGGGTGTGCGTGTGTGTGTGTGTAAACCACACATATACAGAAAGCCTCACCTCCGCGAGGGCAGCCGCCGCCGCATGCGGTGACAATCCAGCACCCACTCTTTGCGCACGATTCGGCCTCCGAGGCCGAGGACCTGGCTGTACTTGGGGGTGTTAGCAAAGGCGCAGCTGGTGGGGAGCAGAATGGAGGGTGTCAGCTGGGGAAAGGCAAAGAGACAAGGGACATGGGGAGCGAGACAGAGGGGTGCAGGGAAGAAAAGAAAGAGGACAAGAGGCAGAGGATGCAGAGAGGTGAAGTGACAAGAGAGCAAGACGGAGGAGATGGAGGAAGACGGAGAAGGGACAGCGGGGGGTGAGGGAGGGGACGCGGGCCTACATGAGGTGCGTGCTGTCTGGAGTCCAGTCCGGTCGATACTTGGCCCCCAGCTCAAGGGCCTTGTCCCGGAGCTCTGAGCGGAAGGGGTTCTGGAAGCCACTCAGCACCACCACCACACCCTGGAGGATCTTCCCCAGCTCCTGCGGGCCTGCGCGGGGGGCTCTGGGCTCAGCGCCTTCTCCTCGGGGCTTCCCTGGTGCCGGCCCTCGTGCTGGGGCAGGGGTCGGGGGAGTGGCTGGGGTACGGGCGGGAGCTGGCACTGGAGAAGCCAGAGAGTGGACTCAGAAAATGTAGAGCTACACCCCCACCTCTCCTCTCTCACACCCAGGAGTCCAGGCTCTCAGCCCCTCCTCTCTCAGACCCAGGAGTTCAGACCCCCGGGCCCTCCTCCCTCAGACCCAGGATCCTCACCCCTCCACCCTCGGACCCAGACCCTCTGTGGGAACAAGGAATCCAGTTTGCTCACATTTGGGTCTCTTGAGGGCAGGTAGTGAGGGCTGAGCTGATGGTTTGCTGGGGGTCTTCTTTTCTTCTTGGTTCAAATCCAGCTTCCTCTTGCCTTTGGGGGACTCCTGAGGCTGCGGGGGTGGGTTGTGCTGAGGCCTCCAGCTTCTCTCCTCCTTTTCCACACCCCCAGGGTCTGATGATCTCACCTTGAAGGTGCTGCCTACTGCCCTGGAGACCGGGGAGGCTGAGGCGGCAGCACTGGAGGCCTGCAGCGTAGCTGCTGCATAGCTGGGTCCTGCCGGGTCACTAGCTGCCACTGCAGAGGGGGAAAGCGGGTCCAAGCTGAGGGGGCTGGACTCTCAGGCCTTCTGGCTCCTTCCTATCCATGGGTCACAAAGGGCTGTTCCCGAGACCCAGCAGTGACCCAGGATCCAGGCCCCCAGCCTTTACTTGCTCAGGACCCAGGCTTTCTGTCCTCACCTGGGGGTGTCTTGTTGATACGACTGAAGAAGAGAGCTCCAGGTTTCAGGGAGCTGGCACTCTCATCCTCCTCCTTCACACGGAACTGGCCGAGCTTGGTCACCTTCTAAGGTCCCAAAGGTCAGAGCAGTGGGAGGGCTGTTGGCAGGTGCGGGTGAAGAGGTGGGGAGAAGGCTGTGGGCAGGGGCAGGCAGAGCTTACCTGGGGTGAGGCCTCAGCCTCATCTTTGTCTGGGGCGCTGTGAAACCGTACAAAACTCAGGCCATAGGGGGCATCCTGGGAGAGGAGGGGTGGGAGTCAGGGAGTCTGGCCAAGGACAAAGGCTTGGCCCTCATCCCTTTCGTTGAGAGAAACCCCTTCCTGACTCTTTCCCTCCAACGGACACACATCTGGGGAGCTGCCCGGTTGATCATGACAAGGATAATAGTCGCAAGCTGTCACTGAGTCCTAACTTGGGGTCAGGCTCGGCACAAAGCCCTTACGTGCTCAGCCCTTGAGCCTCAGAGCAACTGGTAGAGGCTGCAGCGCGTCTAGGCAAATCCACTCTGCCTGCCAATTTTCTGCCCTTGGAATGGGAAGGAGGGCCATGTGCCACTTCTGTGACTCAGAAATGCTCCCGGCTCTTTCCTCCTCTGCTGGGTGGATGTGGAGCCATGAGATGGAAGGAACCTGGGTCCCAGGATGGCCAGAAAGGTTAAGTCACTAGCCCGAGATCACAGAGCTAGGGAGTGCAGCTCCCTAGGTTTTAAACCAGGTTTTAAACCAGCATTCTGACTCCAGATCTCGTGATGCTAACTCTGAGACCCTGTTCTAAGAGGCCTTGTCTCCCACAAGTCAGCAGCTCCCCCTCTCAATTCCTGTGAGATCTTGCAGGTCACCCTTCCCAATCTCCCTCCAGGAAACCAAGATTCCTATATGGGGAGGACCACAAACCAATTTCAGAGAACGGAGGGGCCCAGCCTCCTTGTAATTCCCCGGGGAGGCGGACTATCCAGCCCTCCCAGCCCTCGGGGACTCAATACCAGCCCCTTGCCTTTCAGTGGCGTGGGACCAAGGAGCCCGCTCCCACCCTGGGTACCTTGCTGTAGGGCTGGCTGCAGACAATTTTGACTCGGTCCCAGCGCTTCTCTGCTGCTGCCCGGACCAGCTTGTCAGGCCCAAAGATACGAACACGGTTGGAGTTCGAGCCACTGCGACTCTCGGCAGGGGACATGAAAGATGAGGTGACCAGGAGGACCTGGGAAAAGGCAGAGTGGCTAAGGACCAGGCCTGGCTGGCAGCAATGACACCTCCTAGGGACTGGAAGAGCGCAGGGGCCTGGGCAGACCAGGGGGTCTCCAGATCCAGCTCTACCTCAGCTCTCCTCGAGGCTTCTAGAAGCTTCTCTTCTTCCTGGGTGTCCTATCAGTCCTTCCCTGACACAGGCCCCAGAGGGATCCTTCTACTCCCAGATCTGAACCACCCTTCTCTAAATTCTTCCAGAGTCTTCCATATCTGGACATGCAGAGGGCTGCACAGTCTCGGAAACCCTCCCAGATTGGTGGGCTCCCAGCAGAGGATATTCACAATGACCTTTCAGTAACACAGGGCTGAGGGAGCAGAAGGGAAGTGTCAGGGCCTGAAGGAACAGCCTAGAAACCAAAGAGATAGGGGAGATACACCCACTATCAATTGACTGTCTCTGGACAATGGCCCGGTAGTTAAGACTGCATTCCCAATGCAGGGGGCCTGGGCTCAATCCCTGGTCAGGGAACTGGATCCCACATAGCGTAATGAAGATTGAAGGTCTCACTGTGTCACGACTAAGACCTGGCACAGCTGAATAAATAAAGTAATTAATTTTAAAAAATTTTTGACTTTTTCTCAGTTCAGACCAATCTTTGAAAAATAAAAAAGCAAATAAGTAAAATAATAAAGGAATATAATGGAAAGAATAAAAAAGAAGAAAACAATTTAAAAAACACTTGTGGCTCAGCTCTGGGATGCTGGGGACATTTCTAATCGCCAGCAGCTCCCTGTCAGGCTCCGCCAGCAGGGGGAGCTAGAGAGAGAGAGACTGCAAGGCCAGAGAAGGGAGGTGGGTTCTCGCAGCTCAGGTGAGCAGCATCTCAGGTATGCCTTGCTGCTACTTGTGCAGCAGTTCTTCCCGGGAGGTTGGGGGCCAAGGGGAGTCGCACAGGTGAATCCAGTTTGCCGCATCCCAGGACCTGCAGAACTAGCCTCACCACACATTCTCAGGGTAGTCCAGAACCAGTTGGTGATCACCCCCTCCTCAGGATCTGAGTTTCAGCCCCAAGGGTTCACCTCCAAGCTTCAAAACACCCACATTTCAACAATTCCAACCTCTTCCTTTTGTTCCTCCAGCCCTAAGGGTGGTGGCTGCCCCCAGCAGTTGCTTCTGTGTCCTATCGGCATCTGCTGGCCTCTTTAGTTCAATACTTCGTTACTAATTCTTTATATTAATTCTGTTAAACTAACTGGTGTGATTTCAGCCTCCTGGTGGGACCCTGACTGACAGTGGGTGGCACCAATGCTGGTGTCTGCCTTGTTACCGACTTCATGTGGCACGGAGCCTGATTGAATCAAAGGGTTCTACGTGGTAGGAATACTTTGGCCACCTGATAGAAAGAGCCAATTCAGTGGAAAAGACCTTGATGCTGGGAAAGACTGAGAGCAAGTGGAGAAGTGGGTGACAGAGGATGAGAGAGTTGGATGGCATCACCGACTCAATGGACATGAGTTTGAGCAATCTCTGGGAGATAGTGAAGAACAGGGAAGCCTGGCGTGCTGCAGTCCACAGGGGTGAAAAGAGTCAGATGGGATTTAGTGACTGAACAACAACGTGATGTGAGCAGGGAGAACAGGGAGTTCAAAGCGTGAGCTCTAACTCAGGAAGAAAGGCATCTCAGGAGACACCCCTGTGCAGAGAGCTGGACCTTCCTTCCATGAGTAAATCAGGGAGAGACGTGTCTTGTGGGGAGAGTCAGTGGGAGCCCTTAGCTCTGGCCAGAGCTCTCTCCCAGCAGAGAAAAGATAAAAAATTCTCTCTGCAGACTCCTATCCCCAGATGGGTTTCCCTGGTAGCTCTGACAGTAAAGAATCTGCCTGCAATGTAGGAGGCCTGCGTTCGATCCCCAGGTCGGGAAGATGCCCTGGAGAACAGGATGGCAACCCACCACAGTATTCTTGCCTGAGAGCTCTACTCTCAAGGATTTGGAGCAAAGTCCACACTAGTTATCAGAGTGGGAAAACCCAAGTTGAAAATGTAAGTGGTCCCATGTATGTAGTATCACCTGGTGCTGGCTGGGGCAAATCCTCTTTGGAGGAATGTACTTCAAACCAGGCCCTCATAGAACTTCCACCTATATATTACCCAAGAGTGGAATTAACACACACACACACACACACACACACACACACACACACATACCATTAGGCATGAGGAAATAGGCTGCCATGATTTAAGGTCAGCAAAAACCACAAACTACAGACTCAGACACACAAAGATTGCATATATTGATGGGGAAAAACTAGAAAGAGTGACAGACTTTATTTTCTTTGGCTCCAAAATCACTGTGGATGGTGACCGAAGCCATGAAATTAAAAGACACTTGCTCCTTGGAAGAAAAGCTATGACAAACCTACACATCATATTCAAAAACAGAGACATCGCTTTGCTGACAAAGGTCCGTATAGTCAAAGCTATGGTTTTTCCAGTAGTCACGTATGGATGTGAGCACTGGACCAAAAAGAAGGCTCTCAGCCAAAGAATTGATGCTTCCAAACTGTGGTGCCGGAGAAGACTCTTGAGAGTCCCTTGGACAGCAAGGAAATCAAACCAGTCAATCCTACAGGAAACCAACCCTGACTACTCACTGGAAGGACTGAGGCTGAAGCTGAAGCTCCAATACTTTGGCCACCTGATGGGAAGAGCCGACTCATTGGAAGAGACCCTGGTGCTGGGAAAGACTGAGGGCAGGAGGAGAAGGAGGCGACAGAGGATGAGATGGTTGGAGGGCATCACCTACTCAATGGACATGAGTTTGAGCAAACTCTGGGAGACAGTGAAGGACAGGGAAGCCTGGTGTGCTGCAGTCCATGGGGTCACAAGGAGTCAGACAGGACTTAGCGACTGAACAACAAAAAATTGATACTATCAAACACACAATATAAAAGTAAGTGTGCGACTTCCGTGGTGGTCCAGTGGTTAAGAATCTACCTGCCAGTGCAGGGGTCATGGTTTCGACCCCAGGTCTGGGAAGATTCACACATCTCGGGGCAACTGAGCCCCAGGAGCGCAATTACTGAGCCCGTGCACCACAAGGAGAGTAAACCCCATTCGGTGCAACTAGAGAAGGCCCGCACACAGAGATGAAGACATGCTGCAGCCAAAACTGATAAATAAATTATAAAATTAAAAAAAAAAACCCTCAAGGGAATGGGAGACTACTGACATAAGGGTTTCCAGACTCTGCAAACATAAAGCCCTGAGCTGACCATTCCACTTTTCTAGGTAGATAAGAGGTTTACAATAAAGATCCAGGTGCCAGATTAGATACAGTTTTAGCCAAAAATGCACTGACTCTTCTCATAATTAAAAAGTGGAATTTTGATCTGAATCTGCTTGCCAAGAAGAAGAGAGGACTTTTTTTTTTATTGTCCCAAAGATGGTTGATTTTACGTAAAATTTTAAACAAGGAGACCATTAGACTGGGTGACTCTAAAGCCTTAGGTAGCTTCAGTAAACCAATCAAAATTTAAGCAAGAGTTGATGAACTCCAATCTGAGAAAATGAAATCAACAGCCAAGTCCCTTGATTTTCCCAAGTAAGGCAATCATCTGAGCTCCGGGGAGGTGGGGCGGTTGGGGCACTGGGACTGACGTACGTATACTCCTGACACTGTGTATGGCAGAGATGCTGCTGAGAGCCTCCTGCAGAGACAGGGCGCTGACTCAGCGCTGCGCTGACCTCAACGGGAAGGAAACCCCAGAGTGTGGGGTGTGTGTATGTACGGCTGGTTCACGTTGCTGCCCAGCGGAAACTAACACAACACTGTAAAGCAACTATACTCCAAAGAAAATTAGTTATAAAAAAGTTCAAACTCTAGTCCATTAAACAACTGCTCTGCTCTGCTCTCCTGTCTTCTCTGTAAAAACCTCTGTCCCAGCCCCCCCACAAAGCACCTCTGATCATTTTTTAGTTTTGGCTACCTGATTCAAGTTTTCTGCTTGAATAAACTCTTTAAAACATAATGTGCCATCAATTTGCCTTTTTGCAACTTATAAAACCTTTATTTTATTACTATTAGTTTTGGTCACACTGCACAGCCTGTGGGATTTTAGTTCCCCAACCAGAGACTGATTGAATCTGGGCCCCTGGCAATGACAGTGGCGTCCTAAACACTGGACTGCCATGTGTGCATGCTAGCTAAGTCACTTCAGTCATGTCCGACTCTTCGCGGTCCTATGGACCGCAGCCCTCCAGGCTGCTCTGTCCATGGGAATCTCCAGGCAAGAATACTGGAGTGGGTTGCCAAATCCTCCTACCCTAACCACTGGACCGCCAGGGAATCCCCTAGAACCTTTAGAATAAGAATGTGTGTTCAAGGACAACCTCATTGGTTAGAATGTACCTTGTATGATGGAAAAAGTACTTGATAAAATTCAGTACACATATTCATTTAAAAGACTGGCAGGACCTCACTGGTTGTCCAGTGGCTAGGACTCTGCACTTCCAATGCAAGCAGCCGGGTTTGATCCCTGGTCAAGGAACTAGATCCTGCATACCGCATATGACCAGAACTAAGACCTGGCCCAGCAAAATAAATAAAGACTGGCAATATCAAATATAAATAAGGGTGTGGAGCTCATATACTGCTGAAGGGAATGTAAAATGGAATAAACCACTCCGGAAAACGATCCATTTCTAATAAGGTTAAAACAGAGATCTACCTGAAGACCCTGCGATTCAACTCTTTTAGGTATTTACCCCAAAGAGATCTCTATACAGAGGCTTGTACAAGAAGGTCCACAGCAGTTGTGTTCATAATAGTCAAAAAGTGGCCCCCCCCCAAAAAAAGTGGTGGGGAGTTCCCTGGCGGTCTAGTGTTGAGAGGACTTTGCACTTTCACTCCTTTGCACTTTGCACTCCTGGGGTCTGGGTTCAATCCCTGCTTGGAGAACTAAGATCCTGAAAGCCGAGAGGTGCGGACAAAAACCACCACCAAAAAGTGGCAACAGTCCAGATGTCCGTCAACAAGAGCATAGATGAACAAGTTGAGATCTACGCTTGCAGTGAAACTTCTCAGCAATAAGGTGGAACAGACTGCTGGTGTACACACAATATGTTAGAACCTCAAAAAACAGTAGAGAGTAAAAGAAGCCAGCCACACACACACAAATACCTGAAAACTGCATACTGTCACACCATTTGTATGAAATCCTAGGAAAGGCAAAACTAGTCTATAGTGACGGAAAAGAGGCAGTGGTGTCCTGAGCCGAGGGTGGGAGAAGTGAGCCCAAAGTACCATGAGGCAGCATCCAGGCAGGCCAGCAATGCTCTATGTCATTTTTTTTTGGTGGGGGGGGGGGCGGGGGGGCACACTCCAAAGTATATGGGGCCTTAGTTCCCCAACCAGGCATCGAACCCAGGACTTCTGCATTGGAAGGCAGAGTCTGAACCACTGGAACACCAGGGAAGTCCAGTGTTCTCTGTCTTGATCTGGGGGATGGTTACCCAGGTATGTACATCTGTCAGAATGATGACCTGTGCATTTTATTATATGCAAAATATACCTCAATCAAAAACAATTTCTCACTGTGAGGAAAAAAACATTCCTTATAGAAAACAGATTCATTCACTTAAAATTATAAACTCTCTTTTTCACATTATGTTTATTTTTCCCCAAAACATTTGGCTGACTCACCAGCTGGCTCACTATCATCTCCCCAGTCTTACATGAATTAATTTTACTGGTTTAAAAAAAAGGACTGGGCCAACATTTAAAATACTCATAACAGAACAAAAGGCTCATAAACATTTGTCATGAATCAAGTAGCTCACAGAGGGGCCCCAAGCGATTCAGAATGTCAATTTGCAGGGACATCTTGGAGAAGTTCTGGGATCAGATAAAAGCAGTTTTGCTCTCGAGCAGGGAAAGGCAAAGTAAAAGTGTGAGTCGCTCGGTCCCGTCCGACTCTCTGCGATCCCGTGGACGGTAGCCTGCCAGGCTCCTCAGTCCTATCTGACTCTCTGCAACCCCGTGGACTGTAACCTGCCAGGCTCCTCTGTCCATGGGATTCTCCAGGCAAGAATAGTGGAGTGGGTTGCCATTCCCTTCTCCAGGGGATCTTCCTGACCCAGGGACTGAACCTGGGTATCCTGCATTGCAGGCAGATTCTTTACTACTGAGTCCCCTGGGAAGCCCAAGAATACTGGAGTGGGTTGCCATGCCCTCCTCCAGGGAATCTTCTCGACCCAGGGATTGAACCTGGGCCTTCCACATTGCAGGCAGATTCTTTACCAGCTGAGCCACTGAGATGCCCGAGTCGTAAAACACAGAGGTGCGTTTGGTTCTTTCTGCAACTGTGATGCCGTTTCGGCACACAGCTTATCACCTGGGTCAGCTCTTTATTTCTGAGCCCTGAGCTCCTCTGAAGGACTGAGGTGGCCCAGGGGCTAGGAAACCCTGGGGCGGCAACGGGAGCATCTGGGGCACAGATCAGCAGGGGGCCCACCTCAAGGCCCAGCTTACCTCATAGTCCTGCTCCCCAGTGCCTCCGGCCGAGCTGCCCACCAGCACCTCCACGAAGGCCGAGCCGTCATTCCCGATGTCCACGCTGTGGATCTGTTCCTCCTTCTCCAACTGCAGGGGAGGCAAGGCCCAGGTCAGTGCCGTTCTGCCCTGCCCCCCGCCCGGCTTCCCTGTGGGACCTCGGAAGACGGACAACCCCCATCCGGGCCACCTCGTCTCTTTGCCAAGTCAATTCGGTGACAGAGGGGGCAGGGCTGCAGGCTGCCCCCGTGTCCCCTGCACACAGCACAGGATGTGGAGTCAGAGTTGGAAAACAGACACTGACCGATTGCCTACACGATAGAACCCACGTTCCCGGCTCCACCAGAATCTGCCTGACCAGCTTCTAACCCAGCACCCCGGAGTTCTCCTTGGCGGTGCTATCAGGCAAAGGGCACACAGGATCCCATGGATACTCCCTGAGGGTAGGGGCCTGGTCTGGTTTTGCTCACCACGGACTCCAGGTTTGAGTCCCATCTCCGCCACACCCTAGCTATAGGGCCTTGTCAGCTCAGCTCCTGGAGCCTCAGTTTCCTCATCTGTAAAGTGGGGATGATCACCCTTTGTAGGATTATGCACATAAACACCACGTTCACAGGGCATGGCATGCAGCAGGCACCCTGTGGCTACCAGGCAAGAAGTGTTATCAGCCACTGCTTGATGATTATTTGTTGAAAGAAGGAAAGAGATGGTGGCTCGGGGTATAAGAGTCTGCCTGCCAGTGCAGGGGACAGGGGTTTGACCCCTGGTTCGGGAAGATTCCACATGCCACGGAGCAACTAGGCCCATGAGCCAAAACTACTGAGCCTGTGCTCTAGAGCCCTTGAGCTGCAACTACTGAGCCCATGTGCCGTAACTACTGAAGCCTGTGTCCCATGCTCCAAAACAAGAGGAGCCACTGCAATGAGAAGCCCATACACTGCAATTAAAGAGTAGCTCCTGCTCCATGCAACTAGAGGAAGGCCACGCAAAAGCGATGAAGACCTGGCACAGTCAAAAATACGAGCTGACTGTAGGAAGTCTACCCCCAAAGTTTCTGCCAGTCCCATCTGACTTAAACACATAGAAAGTCATGTGGGGGTGGAAGGCAGCTACAGGGGCTGAAGCAATCTCCTATTTTCCATCCTGGGGCTTTTATTATTATTAATTATTTATTTGGCTACCTCGGATCTCAGTTGTGACACTCGGGATCTTTGTTGCAGGATCCTTCGTTTGAGTGACAGAGCTTAGTTGCTCCAAGGCAACTGGGATCTTAGTTCCCTGACCAGGGATCAAACCTGTATCCCCTGCATTGCAGGAAGGATTCTTAACCACTGGACCACCTGGAAAGTTTCTGGGGCTATTTTATTTGGCTCACAGAATGACAAGTGACTATGACCCCCAAAGGTTCCTAGTCTGCCACCCCACACAGCCAGGAACATTGATCTGCAATGTCACCCCCTAGCCGGGCGGTGGCCTGGAGATACTGCTGGCACACTGCTACAGACAGGAATGTCCCTACAGCAGAGGGAGGAGCCTGGGCTTGTGGGGAGGCCAGCCTGAGTTCAAATCTAGCCCTGGCACTGCCAAGCTGTGCAGCCCTGGGTGACATAAAACTTCTCTGAGCTACAGTTTCCTCATGAGTGAAGGGGGGTGCTCCCCACTTCTGAAAGGAGTTGACGGGACACAGGATGCTAACCATCGCAATGCACAGCCACTGTGGCAGCACCCAAGTGTAAACGGTGTGGCAGACCCGTAATCCCAGTAAGACATGTCGACACCTCTGGGAGCCAGGAGCTATTTTGATCTCCATTTCACAGGGAGCGATTGAGACGGGAAGCACCTGTGTAACTTCCCAGAGGTCACGAGGCCAGGCTACAGCCAGCGTCAGCTGGGCTGCATTCCTTCTGAACATTCTTGGGGAGAATCGTTTCCTCGTCTTCTCTCCAGCTTCTGGAGTCCCTGCCCTCCTCGGTGGTGGCCTCTTCCTCCGTCTCCAGAGCCAGCAGTGGCATCGCTCCAGCCTCTGCTTCCATCCCCACAGCTCCTCTGACTGGTTCTCCAGTCACCCTCCTCCCCTGATAAGGACCCCTGTGATAACACTGCTTCCCCCCAAATCATCCAGGCCCATCTGCCCACCTCGAGATCCTTACAGGGACTTCCTGCTGGCCCAGTGGCTAAAACTCTGCCCTCCCAATACAGAGTGTTTGGGTTTGAACCCTGGTCAGGGAACTAGATCCCACAAGCTGCAGCTAAGAGTTCACATGCTACAGCTAAAAGATTCCGCACACTGCAACAAATATAGAAGATCCCGCATGCCCCAACTGAGACTCAATGCGGCCTAATAAATAAATATTTTTTAAAAATCCTCACAAAGTCCCTTTATCCATGTAAAGGACACATGTACAGGTTCTGGGGATTAGGATGCAGACAACGTGCGTGTGTGCGTGCGTGTGTGTGTGTGTGTGTGTTAGGATGCAGATGTGTGTGTGTGTGTGTGTGCGCACACGCGCACACTCAGTTGGCCAGTCATGTCCAACTCTTTGCGACCCCACGGACTGTAGCCCACTGGGCTCCACTGTCCATGGGATATCCCAGGCAAGAATACTGTAGTGGGTTGCCCTTTCCTTCTCAGGGGATGTTCCCAACCGAGGGATTGAACCTGCGTTTCCTGCATCAGCAGTCAGGTTCATTACCACAGAGTCACCAGCAAACACTGAGACACCTTAGGGGGCCGTTATTTTGTCTACCACACTGAGCAAAGCTCTTCCTGGGCTGGGCATCACTGAAGCCTCCAGACCACACGGGGAGGCAGGGTCAGCTGACTTCCCCAGCTTTACAGACGGGGAAACTGAGATGCAGACAGGAAAATCAATGGCTCACATGTCACACACAGAGAATGACTGGCAGAGAAATTCAGACCCAACTCACTGACTACAAGTCAACAGGGCTTTCCAACTCCACAATTTCAATCCTGGTGGTAAAACCTCAACATCTTGGGACTTCCCTGGAGGTCCAGGTTCTGACCTGGGTCCCAGTGCAGGGACCCAAGTTCCATCCCTGGTCAGGGATCTAGATCCCACGTCCAACAACTAAAGGATACTGCATGCCACCACTAAGACCCAACTCAGCCAAATAAATAAAATTTTTTAAAGTCAAAAACCCCATTCCACTGACTCCTCTCCCACTGGAGGCATTCCTCATTCCTCCTAACCATGTAATTTCCTCCCCAGCACGCAGCATCTGACATACATTTGACTTACTGATCTGTCAGTCTTTCCTTGCCAATATAAAATCTCCACAGGTCTGATATGCTTGTCTTCTGATGTCTGCGGCACTGTGTGCCTACAACAGTGCGGGGCCTACAGAAGGCGCTGCTATGAATGAAGAACAGATGAATCCATCCACTCTCAAGTCTCACGGCCTGTCTCTGTGCTGACACTCCTACAGCTCTGCCCCGGCTCCAGGCCCACCCCGGCTGTCCCTTGGATACTGTTCCTTGTGTGTCCCAAAGTCACAGCAAACCTGGACATCCCAACCAGCGGATGACCGTCTCAGGCTGCCCCCCCCCCTGCTCTAGGAACTGCATTTCGGTGACAGAGGCCATGTCCCCCTCGGTCTCCCAGGCCAGAGAAGCCGGAGGCTCGTTTGGTTCCTCTGGCTCTCTCACTCCCCACTTCCTGTCTCTCCTTGCTCCCACTCCAACAGCGCTGCAGAATGAAAGGGGACGCCCCTGATCATAAAAGAGCCCAGCAGGATCATGCACTAATACACACGTGCATCCCCCCTTTACACAAACACCTGTGTGGTGACAGTGCACTTCTGCAAACATTATGTCACCAGATTTTCAAGGTAACCCAGGGCTCGGATCACATGATCTTCTATGGACAGATGAGAAAACAGCTTCTGAGAAATGAAACCATTTGCCTGAGGTCACAGGGAGAGTAAGAGGGAGAGATGGGGACTTGAATTCCACCTGAGATTAACTTGTCAGCCACCTGCATCTCTCTCTGTTTAAAATACTGGCTCTAGGCAAATTTCATAATCTCTCTGGGCCTAGTTTCTTCATCAAACAAGGGGATAATAATAGATTTGAGGTCATGGGATTTTTACGAGGATTCCGTGAACTAACCCATATGAGGCATTTAGAATGGTGACTGGCAGTTTTGGTTTTTTTGGGGGGTGGGGGGCATTTTCCCAAGTTGGGCCTTCAACCTAGGCCTCGTGGCATGGAGTGGAAACCTAACCACTGGCCCACCACGGTATTCCCAAACAGTTGTTAACTGTGAATAAACTGTTAGCTCTCATTAGTATGATGTACTATGTTAGGGAACTATGAGATATTTAAAGTCCAAAAATAACTCACAAAATCTGTGGTTTGTGTATAATTCCTGGGAGAATTCTCAGCTTCTCTCTAAGTTGCAAAAAGGTCTATGAACCAAAACATTTTCAGGGCCACTGGGTGAGACAGACAATAATATATTTAACACAATCCGGTAGGCCTAGTCCCCACCATCCTTCCCCAAACACCCTTACATTGGAGGGATGAATGTGGCCAAAATCAAGCAGTTGAGCACTTCCATGGTGGTCCAGTGGTTAAGAATCCATGCCTCCAATGGAGCAGAGGGCTGGGCGGCAGGTTCAATCCCTGGCTGAGGAACTAAGGCCCCAAAATGTCATGTGGTGTGGGCAAAAATAAAGAAAAAAAATTTTTTTTTGTTTTTAAAGAGAGAGACATCCCAGGAGGTCCAATAGCTACGACTTCATGCTCCCAATGCAGGTGGCCCAGGTTCCCAACTCTGGCCAGCTAACCAGATCCCACACGCTGCAACTAAGACCCAACGCAGCCAAATAGGAATAAATATAAAAAAGAAAGGAAGTGAACATACGGACACAAAGAAGCAATAAAAAGGTGGCGAGAGCACCCACACTGGGGTCAGGTCTCAGCACTGCCATGTGTGAGGGGTGATAACAGCTCCAACGTCATCTGACGCCCTGGAGAGCCAGATCACGCAAGGGAACACCCAGGCAGCACCTGGGAACACTCTACCTCGCTTCTCCCACAGGGAACCGCCTGCTGGGAATTCTGTCACCATTCTGGGTCACACTCCCCTCTCCCTTGGCTCCCTCCAACCTCACCAAGCACGTACCAAAGCACTGAGCAGTCCACAATGGTCTCTAGGACTGACCACTGCACTTTGGCCCTTCCCAGGCCTCAGTTTCCCCATCTTTAAAATGAAGCCGATTGGCTTAGATGATGAGACATCTTCCAGTCCAAAGCCCTTTAGAAGGCAGAATTCATGGCAATGGTTTACTGTGTTCCAACTGAGGATAAGGCTCTGAAAAGAGCAGCAACCGACCTGGACCACACATAGATTCATTCCTGACCTAGTCCTTGGATCACCTATCTCCCCTGCTAAGGGCACAGGGACCACAAGGCTCATTGTCCAAGTGAGGTGGTGAGGACTGAAGAGAAAGTGCCTCAGCTCATTGCCAGTTAACCCCAAATAGGGCCTGGAGCCTGGACCTACAGATTTCTATTAAGGAGATGGAGGGAGGGAGACTTCTCTGGGGATCCAGTGGTTAAGACTCTGAGCTTCCAGGGCAGGGGGCTCCAGTTGCATTCCCGGTCAGAGACCTAAGATACCTCATGCCACCCAGCAGAGAGGGCAAAAAAAAAAAAAAAAAAAAGATGGGGGGGCTGGCAGAATCACCTGGAGCACCACAGAGATGGTCTTCTCACCCGCCTTGGCTGCTCGCCATTTACGGTAAGTGTCTGCCTTGAGAAGGTTTTCTGCACAGTAGGTCTGAGGAGAAGAGTAGAAAAGGGAATGTTAGGGTTCAGAGATGACAGCCATGACCCCAGTTCTCAGATGACTCTGAGAGTTCTCTCAAGCCCTCTGACATCACCCAGCTTGAGGTTTCCTTATTAATCCCCGCACACCCTGGGCTCTGGGGAAGAGTGGATACATGTATATGATTGTCTGAGGCCCTTTGCTGTTCACCTGAAAGTCTCACAACGTTGTTATCTGGCTCTACCCCGATACAAAACCTTCCAGTGTTAAAATAATAAATCCCCCCACACTCTACCTGGAGTCCCCTCCAACATTTTCCCCTGGAAATTCACCTCTGCTCCTTCCAAGGAAGCAAAAACCCTCCTTTTCTCTCAGCAAATTCCTCTATCCCACATCTCTCCAGAATTCCCTATGGCCTCCCAGAAATTCTCCCATGACACTCCTTAGAATTCCACAAAGTCCCCTCTGTGAAAGGAAAACCAAAACGAACTCCGGATTGCTAGAAGTGTTCTCTAAGATTGACCGGGGGGCCACTTTGGAATTCTGACCAAGCCGGTCCCAGCTACAGTGGAATCTGACCTTTTGACCACTTATTGTATTCACACAAGCATCCAGAATATGCGCCAGAAACTCCAGGTACTTATCAGACCCTTACCCTCCAGTAACTCAGGACAGCTTCTTTAAAGTCAAATATTTCTTTACGTGTATCAGTCAATTAGAATTCTCTCCACACGACTTTAACAACCTGCTGACCTCTGTTCTCATAAGCCCCTGATTCCCTCTGCCAACACTCCGTTGATCGGAATCTGCGTTTCCCAAACTGCAATTCTTAAGAACCCCAATCAAGCTCTTTCTTGGCACCCCGCAGACGCATTAGTTTTCCACACCGTTCAGACTCCAAAAGTTCTCCTAGAGCCCCTGACGAATTCCTTTACTTCTTCCACCCTCCCCCACGCCAGTCCCTCACCGAGTCCTGGCTACTGCAGGACACCACATGGCGGAGGCGGATCTCCGGCATGTCAACGTCGTGTGGGCTTCGCCCGACCCAAAAGATGCACGAAGGGCTGAGTCTTGGGGGCTCACAGGGGGTGCGCCCCGTGCGGCCTTCACTGCGCAACCGCACGAGGCTCGGGCCTTTCAAACCGCGGCGCGCCGCCGGTTACGTCACCACTGCGCATGCCTAGTGCGTCTGTCCGGAGAGCGGCCCGAGGCGCCGAGTTCCCTAGCAACGAGCTTTTCCCGCCTAGCTCGGGCCAAACGTCTCTCTAGCCCCTCCTCCTGGTCACTTTCACACCAGGATTTCTAGCAACAGGCTTGGCCTGCAGGATTGGTCCCCAGCAGAAATTCGCCATCCTCAGCGCCCCAACTGAAGCCTGGAAAGCAAGAGGCCATCAAACTTGAGTGGATTCTTTCAGGAAGCCGGGACCCTACCGCAACAAGATCCCCTCCATAGCTGGCTGGCTGGCTAACTTCCCCACGCCCAACACAAACAGACACACACACACAAACACACACACAGACACACACACAGACACACATACACAGACACACACACAGACACACACACACAGACACACACATGAGAAAATCTCTGATCCCTGAAGATCAGGCCTGAGGTAGACAGAGTGTTTAAAGGACCTCAATAAAACACAAAGTATGTGCCCGAACCAGAAACACACCCAGTCTTGACTGCTTCCAACCATGCCTCACTTTTCCTATGTGAACTCTGGGCATCTGTTTCCTACCATCCCCATGCCCTGAACAAGCACCCCTCTGTTCAGTCTCCAAGAGACCCAAGTGCATCCTGGGTTGGGGTCGGAGATGGAGACAAACCAAACACAGAAAAGGGAGTATGAGCTAAGCATGCCCCGGCAGAACAAGCCTGGACTTGCTTGGCGCTCACAGGTAGGGCCTCACCCACACTGGGCACCTCCTTGGGAAAGGAGAGAAGGGGGGGGGTGGGTACCTGAGTCCTAGCACCTGCTCTACCCTAAAGGAAACAAAATGACCTGATTCTGATCTTGGGCTTCAGGGGAGAAAAAAGAGGGTGAGGGCAGGGCGGTGGGACCTGATGCAAGAAAGGATTGGAAGATGAGATGCCTGGGGCTGCGTGGAGGAGGGGCCTGGGCACAAGATGCCACTGCTCGTTTTGGATTCTGGTTCAGTCTCCCCCACTCAGAGCTGCAGGGACCTACCCCCAGGGCTTTCATCATCATTTCTTAGCCTAGGGGTAAGGTAGGTCCAGACCCACCCCTTCTTAGCTTCCTATAAGAACAGCTGGGGACCTGGGAATGCAGGGTCAGTCATCCATCCATCATGAAGCCTTCCATGAAACCTGAGACCTTCCTGCTGGCCTCCGCCCTGCTCTGCACCCTCCTGGGTCTGGGTAACTGACTAGGGCTCTGGATTCCTGGGACCCTCAAAAGAAGGAGTATGAGAGAACATTCTGCCATGCCCTCAAGGGACAAGGGAAAGAGGAGGTGTCCTGGGAACTGAACTTCATGGAGAAGGCAGAGGGTAAAGGGCAGAAAGCCTGGGTCCCCAAGGGAGGAAGAGCTAAAAAAATGTGGGTTTAAATCTCTGTGAAAGGATGGGTTTGGATGCGTTCTGCTCCCTGTATCCCAGGCAGTGTCTCAAAATAAGACACCTGAATTCTAGAAAATCAGAGAGTATGATTAGTATTTGTCATTAGTATGAAAAACATGAGGCGAGGGTGAGAGATTTCCCTTCTCCCAAGACTCGAAGGAGCTCAGGTCCCCAGTGTCCTCCTCCCTCAGATATAGAAGTTCAGGCCCTCCCTCAGATATAGGAGTTCAGGCAGCTCCACTTTCCCCACGACCAAGTTACCTTGTGCCTGGACCCCCGCTGCCTGCTCTCTCAGGACCAAGGAGTCCAGGCCCTTATCCCCTTAGTCCTCGATCTTTCTTCTTGACCTGGGATGCAGATCCCCTCTCTGGTACCCCTGCCTGAGCACCCACTGCCTACCAGACTTAGACAGCCTGGTACCCACACGGAAGGTGATCCCACTCCCAAGCACCAGGTGGAAGGGAAGGTTCACACAAGTCCATGAAGGACTTCCCCAGTGCTTCAGTGCAGAATCTGCCTGCCAGAGCGGGGACACGGGTGCAATCCCTGGTCCAGGAAGCTTCCACATGCATTGGGGCGACTAAGACCCTTCTCCACAACTACTGAGCTCATGCTCTAAGGCTGTGCTTTGCAACCGGAGAAACCAGCACAAATGAGAAACCCAGAACCACGACTAGGGAGTCGCCCCTACTCACCACAACTGGAGAAAAACCAACAGGAAGCAGGAACCCAGCACAGGCAACAAGAGAAAAATAAAATTAAAAATATAAAAAAAAATTTTTAAGTTCGTGGAAAACTTCAGCAGGACCCCTCAAGGTCCCTTAGCTTTATCAGGTGGTCTAGCATCCCAAGTCCCCAGCCTTGTAATTACATAAACTTGCTCCCTGATCGGACTTGTTTTCTTCCTTGCCCCAGAAAGCAGCTTTGCTCTCAGCACCATTGCATCCCTGCCGAGCTTCCATCATATCCCTATTCAGCGGCCACTGTCCTGCCCTTGAATAACCAGGGAGACCCCAGACTTTTCCTTCAGAACCCGCAACGCCATCCCCGTCTGGATTTGGGAGTCATGGCCCACAGACTACGTACAGCACCTTTCACTAGAGCCCCGTTCTCTAACTGCAGGGTACCCGCTAAGCTGTGAGGTGTGTACCAGTGACGGTCCCAACTGCAGTGGAAAACTGCAGACTTGTGCCCCGGATAAAGACTCCTGCCTGGTTGTCGTGACTGAGAGCAACAGAAGTAAGTGGGCAGGGGCTGGTATCAGATGCTGGGGAGGTGGGCGGCAGTGCCTTCAGGGTGGCAGATACCGCCATGTGCTGGGAGGAACCTTTGAGTGATGATTGTGTCAGGAAAGCTGGAAAGGCAATCTCGTGGTGGGTGTTGAATAGAGAATCTGGTGGAATGACAGAAACCACTATGGCCAAGGATTTCTGAAGATGAGACTCCAAAGAGAGGAGGAGGAGGGGCAGATAGACTTTGTTACCAAAGAAGGACATGGTGGGAGGGGGGAAATCTAATATGTAAAAGGTGAAGGGGTGGGTGCACAGCAGACTTGGGTGAATGTGATCAGGTTGATTCTCGGGGGCTGAGGGTTCTCCCAGAGATGTGGGCTGCAAGAGACTGTTCCTGACTAGAGAAAGAGGGAGATACAGGGGCTGTTTGAGTTGGGTGCAAGCTCAGTTGTGTCTGACTCCTTGCAACCCCATGGAGTGTAACCCGCCAGGCTCCTCTGTCCATGGGATTTACCAGGCAAGAATACTGGAGAGGCTTGCCATTTCCTCCGCCAGGGGATCTTCCCCACCCAGGGATGGAACCTGCGTCTCTTGCATCTCCTAAATTGGCAGGAGGGTTCTTTACAACTGCATCACCTGGGATTCCCAATATTATCATAGAGAGAGAGAGAGACATAAGGACAGAGGATCCCTGGGCACAGTCCATGAGGTCGCAAAGAATCGGGCACAACTGAGCCCCACACACCCAAGCACGTGGTGTACAGAGCAGAAACCCTAGGCCTGGAGGAGACACCCTATCTGTGGTGGGGAAGGGGAAGGCCAGGGAGACTGGAAGAGACCACTGCAGGCAAGACCTGAGAGTAGCCAAGGAGGGCAGCAAGAGACCATAGGTAGGAAGTCTGGGGAGTGACCCTGGGAAATCTGGAAGAGTCTACCTTAGATGGAGAAGGAAATGGGTGTGACAGTGGGTGGGGATGGTGGGCCCCATCCCAGCATTTGGTGGAAGGAATTCCAGGGGTCAGGGGAGGGCTGAAGACTGGAGGAGACCATTACACAGGCATGGGCGTAGTAACAGGTGGTCTGGAAAAGACCACTCCAGGTGCGACCCCTGCAGGATGGCAGTGGGGTGGCCCTGGGGTGGAAGGGGCCACTCTGGAGAGTCCAGCTCAGCCTGGGGACAGGGGGAGGATGGGTGCATACCTGATAAACCATTCAGACGATGCCCCAGGCAGAAAAGGGGCTTGAACTTGGGGAGCTGGAAGAGACCTCTCTAGACAGCACTGGGCTGGGGCTACTATAAGGTGGGGGAGACAACCCAAGGCAAGGGTCCACACCGGGGGCCACTGACCCTTTTGCCCACGGCCATCCTGCAAAGGGCTCCTTGGCGGTGACCAGCTATAAGGGGTGTGCAAAATCCAGCGAGTGTGACTCAGGATCCTTCGCCATCACCATGAACACTGAGAACTACATGGGCTCCACGAGGCGCTGCTGCAAGAACGATGGGTGCAACCAGGACCCGCTGCCCGGTGAGCCCCGGCTGAGCCCCACAGCTGGAGCCCCTCCCTGCCCACCTTCCCCCGCCAGGGCCACCTGTGAGCACCCGCTGCTGACCTGCCCTGTAACCAGGGACGAGCGTCCTCCTTGCGCTGAGCCTTGGTTTCTTCTTCTGTAAACTGCAGTGTCCAGGGACTTCCCTGCTGGTCCACTGACTAAGGCTCCATGTGCCCTATGCAGGGGTTTGATCCCTGGTCAGGGAACTGGATTCCTCGGGCCGCAGTGAAGATCCAGTGCGGTCAAATCCTGTTTTCTGAAGTGCAGCGTGCGTTAGCAACTGGGGTCCCCTAAGTGGCTGTGATGCTGGGAAAGGGACTAACGTCTCCGATTACCTTCCCCTCCACCCTCCTCTTCAGCGTTCGTGAGAAACCACACAGAGAATGGCCTTCGGTGTCCTTCCTGCATCGCTGCCTTTACGGAAACATGCACTTCGACTCAGGAAACAGTCTGCGTTGGTGAGGAAACCCACTGTGTCGCCGTGTCTGGCCTCGCACAGCCTGCTAAGGGGCACCTGGAATTCGGGAGGAGGGCACAGTGTTCCCAGAAGGTCCCAGAACTGGAGCCTCATTCTTCCAGATTCTAAGGGAGAGAGTGGCTCCAAAGATCTGGGGGAGAAGGTGGCTGGGGCACGTGACCCTGGACTAGGAGGAGGGAGGCATTGGAGATCCTGACTGTAGTCTATAATCCCCTCCCACAGGTATCAAATTTGCTGCCCAGGGCTGTGGTACGGAGACCACCTGCCACAGCAAGCCTGGGACCCTGGTGCCCTCAGGCTCTCGTTTGTTGACCATCAAGTAAACCAGCTGTCGTCCAAGCTCCCAGGCTTCTGGCAAGGCTGAGTGAAGAACTGAGGCCCACATGGTGTTTCGTCTCCATTCATTCTTAGCTGTGTTTCTAGAAATTTCTACAGTTCCCATGTATCTATAAATTAAACAAGTTAACAGAACAATCCTGAGTCTTTGTGATGTGATGCATTTCGGGGAGATGGGATGCGAAAAGCAGGGTCTAAACCCTTGGTAACACTCTCTATGGAAGAAAGAAATGGAAGATGCTACCTTTTCTTAAGGGATTACTTCCTGCCTGGTCCCCATGCTAAGTGTTTTCCATGTAGTACCTCATTTCATAATCACAACTCTGTGAAGCTGAAAGTATTGCCCCCATTTTACAGAAGAAGAAGATTGAACAAGAAGAACAAGATTTTAAAGAAGAGGCAAGGATTGTGGTATCACCTGCCTTCGGTCAAACAGCTGGGAGGGTCAGACTCCAGAGTCCATGATCACCTCTCCTAGTTAACCTGTTTTTGCCCCAGAGTTCATGTTTGTAAAATGTGGAGATAATAGCTATGACCTCAAAGGGCTGTCTTAAGAGTCCAATGAAAGAAAGCGAGAAAAGGACTTAGTGCAGTGCCTAGCACATTTAAGGGGCTTCCCTGCTGGCTCAGATGGGAAAGAATCTGCCTGCCAATGTGGGAGACGTGGTTCGATTCCTGGGTCAGGAAGATCCCCTGGAGAAGGGCATGGCAACCCACTCCATGATCTTTGCCTGGAGAATCCACGGACAGAGGAGGCTGACAGGCTACAGTCCACGGAGTCACAAAGAGTCAGACCCCACTGAGTGGCTGAGCACCCTGCACTAGCGCCTTTAAGGCAGCCTGGGTTCTGGGACAGTGTGTCTGGCCAGAGTTACCATCCTAATAGCTGCCACTTCCTCAGTGGCCATGTTTGGCAGCCACTGGACTTTGGCATCTATCAGGACAGTCTGGGTTATGCTACAGTAACAAACCAGTCCCTAAACTCAGTGGTTTAAAACAACAAAGTTGTATTAGTCTGTTCATGCTGAGTAAGGTTGTATAACAAGCCATGCTCCAATTGAGACTTGTAAAAACAAACATTCTTCTTCCTATGGCTTTGTAGGTATCTGGGGCAGCTTTGTTTCTGGCTGTGCGCTGGTCAGTTTGTTTCCAGTTTGGGAGGGGGTCTCTAGTTCTCCTCCGTGGGGTTCCTGAGTCTTCTGGGATCTGTGACTCCCTGGTTAACGTCCTTTTCATGGCAGATGACAGGGGCACAAAACCCAAGTGCACCAAAGGTCCCTGCGGAGCTTTGGGGGTGTGCAGGAATTCTATCCTGCACACAACCCCACCATCCCTCCTCTCCAGGGACCCTGGGATCCTCACCCTCCAGCCCTCCTCCCTCTGACCCAGAAGTCTAGGCTTCCAGCTGACAGAATCCCAAGCATCTTCCACCCCCCGAACCCCCAAAGAACAGACACACAACAGAATTTCTACTTTTGTATTCGCTGCTCCAAAAAACACCACAAGCAAAGCCACCCTTGATTCTCCGGGCTTCATGGTTCCTCACCTCAATGGACACAAATATATCGTTATCCAGACAAGTAGGAACTTCAGCTAAGCTGAGGAGGCTTTTGGACCTCCTCTGCTTCTGCCAGTGACAACACCAAGATTCACCTGGTTTCGGCTAATTTCTGCCTTCAAAGCCTGCCAGCATGCAGGTGCCCCGTAGACTCACCCTGAGGGCAGCAAGTGATCCCTGCACAACGGAGTCTTCTGTCTTTTCTGTTGGGATGCTCCCAGAGACAGATGCCTCACTACCAACTTGCTGCCTCCAGAGCCTAAAATTCAACCCTTTGAAAAGTCATGAGTTAAAAGGCAACTGTTCCAAAAGAGAGCCGTGACACCCAAGGGTGCCGACACAGCTGTGTGAACAAGATCAGCACAGTGGGCGCTGACACATGAAAACAAAGCGGGTCTTGCTTTCTGTGAGTTGATCCAGGCAGAAGGCCCCTTGGCAGGAGGGTTGACGGAATTTGGAAGAGGGAAGCGCAGGGTGGAGAAGTCAGACAGGGCCAAGTCAGAGATGGCGTCAGAGAGGAGGGCACCCTGAGCAAAGGCAAAGGGTGAGACTAAAGTTTGAGCTCCTTGTGTTCCGGGCTTCCAGGAGGGGTTGCAAGTTTATTACTGTGCAAGAGAGAAAATGCAGGTACAGGCGTGCCTACGCGGAATGCTCACGATAACTCTGCATGTAGATGCCATTTGCTGAGCCACTTGTAAAAGGCCACCCCGATTGTCAAGGGGCTGTCTGGCCCTAGGCCAATGAAGATAGAATTCCTATTCCCCAAGAGGGACCAAGGGGTCTCCACTTCTCTCACACAGACCCCAATTCCCTGCTCCACATTGAGACCTTCCACCAGCCATGAAGTAAGAAGCAAGGACCACAGCCCTCTGGGGAGTTAGGAATTCTGAGACTCCAGAGAACCATCCTTTCCCCATTGAAGATTCAAAGCCTATTTTGGATGCAGGCCTATTCCCCAACTCTGGAAACCTACAGCTTATACCCTTTGTGGCTCAGAAGCCCAAGAATTCCAGCTCCCTGGGGAACCCAGACTCCCCTCCTTCATGTCACAGTCCCCAATGGGAAGAAGACCGCCTTCATCAGCACTCACGGCATCCACCTCCTCCGCAGGAGGACTAGAAACCTATTACATCTACTCGAGAGAGCAAGATAGGCCTCGTCCAGGAGTCCAAACCCTCAACTCCCTTGAGGAGTTCCATAGTCTGATGGTCCCCAGAGAAATCAGGAATCCCGTCCCCCAAACGCTGTTTCCCTTCAGGACCCGGGAATCCTGGTCACCAGACATCACCCACTCCAATCCCAAGTCAGAGCCCTCATTTCCTTCAAGAACCCAGGATTCTGACTGGCCGACCGCTCGCCCCGTGATCTCTCAGGCTCATACATCTCATGCTAGAGTCTGGACCCCGCGCCCTCTCCAGCCCTGCCTCGGCGTCCGCACGCATCTCCTCCAGCGCCTGCAGCAGGACGCCCTGCACCGCGCCTCTGGATGCTGTGGGAGGCTGGGCACAACTCTATCTCCAGCTGCTCCTCGTCAGGCTCCGCCAGCAGGGGGAGCGAGAGACAGAGAGAGCGGCCAAGCCTTCTGGAGGGCCGGGGGATGTTGCAGGTCAGGTGAGCAGCACCCCAGGTGCGCTTTGCGGCCACGTTGGCAGCGGGGGTCGGGGCGGGGTCGCGCAAGTGAGTCCAGTTTGTAGCATCCCAGGACCTGCAGAACTAGCCTCACCACACGTTCTCAGGGTAAGACCAGAACCAGCTGGGGATCAGCCCCTGCTCAGGATTTGAATTTCAGCCCCAAGGGTTCAGCTCCAAGCTTCAAAACACCCACATTTCAATAATTCCAACCTCTTCCTTTTGTTCCTCCAGCCCTAAGGGTGCTGGCTGCTCCTAGCACTCGCTTCTGTGTTCTACCTGCGTCTTCTGTCCTCAGCGGTGGTGGTTTAGTCTCGAAGTTGTGTCAGACTCTCTGACTCCATGGAATGTAACCCGCCAGGCTCCTCAGTCCATGGAAGTCTCCCCGCAAGAATACTGGACTGGGCTGCCCTTTCCTTCTCCAGGAGATCTTCCCACACCAGGAATCCAACTTGTGTCCCCTGCATTGAAGGCAGATTCTACACTGACTGAGCCACCTCCTTACTAATTCATTTTATTAATTCTCTGGTAAACTAACTGGTGTGATTTCAGCCTCCTGGTGGGACCCAGACTGATACAATGGGTAGCACTGATGTTGGTGTCTGCCTTGTCACTGATTCCGGTTGGCAGAGAGCTTGATTTTCAAAGGGCTCTAGGCGGTGGGAATACTTTGGTCATCGGATGTGAAGAGCTGACTCACTGGGAAAGCCCCTGATGCTGGGAAAGGCTGAGGGCAGGAGGAGAAGGGGGTGACAGCAATGAGATGGTTGGATGGCGTCACCGACTCAATAGACATGAATCTGAGCACACTCTGGGATATAGTGAAGAAGAGGGAAGCCTGGCGTGCTGCAGTCCATGGGGTCTCAGAGAGTCGGACAGGACTTAGTGACCGAATGACAATGTGGTGGGAGTGGAAAGAAAGGGAAAGAAAACATGGGCTCCAGCTCAGGAAGAGAGGCCTCTCAGGAGACGCCCCTGAGCTCCAGGAGTGCAGAGCTGAGCGCTCCTCCTGAGGGTAAATGAAGGGGAGATGGGCCTGGTGGGGGAGTCAGTGGGAGGCCTGAGATCTGGGGGGACATGAGAGAAAACGTGGAAACTCCTCTTGGCAGACTCCTAGCCAATACTGGCTTCTCTTGGGGCTCTAAAGAATCTGCCTGCAATGCAGAAGACCTGGATTCGACCCCTAGGTCGGGAAGACTCCCTGGAGAAGGGAATGGCAAGCCACTCCAGTATTGTCATCTATGATCTCTACTGTCAACGATTTGGAGCAAAATTCCTAACTAGTTATCAGTGTGGAAAGACCCAAGTTGAAAACTCTAAGTGGTCCCATGTATGTAGTATCACCTGGTGAGAGGGCAAATCCGATTTGGAGGAATGTACTTCAAACCAGCCCCCAAATAATCTCCACCGATACATTACCCAGGAGTGGAATTCACACACACTCACACACACACACACCATTAAGCATCAGGAAATGCGATTCCATGATTAAGTGTCGGTAGAAACCACAAACTGCAGATTCAGACACACAAAGAT